ATTTTCACCTATCGATCACGCTTTAGCTTAACGATCGATTAATCGATTATAATCGTTAGCAAATAGTGTCAGAATTTTGTGCAAAAATTACTCTGTTTCCAAAAGCTAGGCCTTCATGATACCAAAATTCTGCATTTTTGATAGGGTAGCTCCGAATCATGGCACTTTATGCACCATACCCCTGGCAACTGCATACCCACAGTGGAAACTGATTCGAACTTCACGTAAACGAGGGTTTTCAGTACTTTTTGGACTCGAAATCCCTAACGAGTAATCTATAATATTAACTGGTTTGAGGGAGAGAGACAAACGAGAAAAGTAATCTATAACGTAACGATTACTTGATTGATAAGGAATTATCGATCGCTTGCCGAGCAATTGGTATAATCGATTCATACATGTATTGTGCATCTTCATGTACATTGTACTGGAATGAATGGCGTGAGTTCGGAGAGTAAGTTGTGAGAACGTTTACTATACAACAACACGTTTCAAAATGCTCTACAGCCGACTCCAGATAATATCAGTAGTCGACTGTAGAGCAATTGAAACGTGTTGTTGTATGGAACACCATTGTGCACGACAATTAGTTCTTTATAGCCGAAGTTCGCTATAACACAAATGCACTCACACTATACAAGCATCAACATTAATCATGACTGACATGTGACGAAGGACGGTATGACTGCACTTGGTTGTCATGCAGCCATACAAGATTTGGTTCTCTATAATCGAATACTATTCACTGTAAAGCTTCAATTTTGTATGGGTTCAAACAGGGACATGGACTATAGTTTGCTATATCACGAAATTCGTTATGATTATGTGAGTTCGTTATAACTGGAGTAAGAGGCCTTTTCAGTCATAAGTGGAGTAAGAGGTCTTTTCAAGTTTTCAGTCATGAGTGGAGTCGACTGTACTGTATGGTCAGTACTTTGTTCCACATGTATTTCATTTGATGAAACTGGCCATAAACTGGTTAGTGGAAACGGATGAAGCTGATAAGGAGCATGCATTCGTAGTTTGTTTTGCCGTGATAAGGTTCTTGTCGCCCCAAAAGATATAAATTTTATGCCTTTGATTGAGTCGGTCTGTGGATCCGTTTACCTATGTGTTGCGTGACTAACTTCCCAGTGACAATGCACTTGTCAGCTCAGGTATGCTATACAGCGAGGTCAACTCTGTGGGTAATACTGCTGGTTGTATGCAGTGTTCGCATGTGTCCTGCTCAATGTTGACAGAGATCAGAAATTCGACGTAACCACCTCTGTCCGGACTGGTGTGCCAACGTGCACCCATGGGCTTGATCATGATGTGGGGACTGCGGAGCATAGACCCGTAGACCCGTGCGTATCACGTTGCTTACAGGAGGTGGTCAGTTGGACCAGGAGGCGGTCAGTTGGACCAGGAGGCGGTCAGTTGGACCAGGAGGCGGCCAGTTGGACCAGGAAAGTGGTCAACAAGCACACGGAAAACGTGTAAGCGTCTTGTCACGTTCTTCCTTGTTGGAAGATTCAAGAAGTTTCGATCTCCTGGTTGTCCGCAATGACTATGTCCGCGTTCACCTAGCCTATACTCCCAACAGTACAGCCATCAATCAATCCCGTGCGATACCGTCTTCATGAGCGTTCGTATTTGCGTCGCATTCCCGTCAAGTCAAAATGAAGTCAGTCTTCTGTCTGAACCTTGCTTTTGTTATGCCTTCGTTGCTGTGTAAGGAACGTCAAAGGTTTATGGAAATATGACTGCATAAATTACGTTGGCTTGGTGTTGTTCATGACTTTGTGCTGTGGTTGTCGCGGCGACCTTGTCGCGCGATTTGTATCATGTTTGTGCCTGTTCTTGTTTCAGTACAAAACGCTAGTTCCATGCCCACGTTCCCGTGCTTTGTATGACTTGTTCTGGCCCACGTATGCATGACTGTACATGTACTTGTCAAGGCACGTGCATGCAGCACAGTTTGGCGCGCTTTTGCGAATGTGTTTGCTTCTCCCACGGTGGTGGGTTTTTATGCTGCTCTTCTTGGACACGAGTGGTTTTCAGTTTTGTTGTTCTCTAGTATTATTCTTCGAAAGAGCGATTACTACAGACTCATTTGTCCTATGATGTGTGCCACCTGTAGAGGTGAGATCGGACTTGTGACCTGTGTTGATAAATCGAGAGATTGGGAATTCTAATCTTTCGACATGGTGCTTTAGTGACCAGAGATTTTCCTCAGTTTATTTAGTAAATTCCGACCAGAGTGATGGAGACTATCGCCCAGCTTGTAAAGTGTAGAGCAAACACGAAGCGACGACTCACACGCCTTCGCCACAATTTAACCCGGGAGCTTGCCAAAGACGCTCCATCACCACACTACCTGCTACGAGATTGGCAGCAGGCTGAACGCCTTGCAGCTGAAATCAATGCCACACAGGCTAGAATCCGCGATCTGACCGAACAGGCGACTTCCTCGGATGTTGAGGACCGCCTGGAGCAACTCGACAAGTGGGAGTTCGAGTTCGATGATGACCTGGAAGTCCTGAGGGACGCACGTACCGTTCTACAGAGGGAGAACCCGTCCGGACTCGCCACAGCAGATGCGGAACTGGAGGCAATCGCCAACTCGAGTCGATCCAGTGCCCCACAGCCTCCCCCACGACGTCCCCAGCCGCTGCCTTGACCAGCGTATCCTTCAGCCCATCAGCAGTGGTGGTCCACTCCAAGGGTCCACCTTCCGCTCCTGTGAGCCCTCCTGTGACTGCTGTTAGTCCTGTCCCTGCTACTGGCGCTCCAGCCACTCCAGTCGTCCCGTCTCCCAATGTCTCCGAAGCCCATCAGCAGTGGTGGTCCACTCCAAGGGTCCACCTTCCGCTCCTGCGAGCCCTCCTGTGACTGCTGTTAGTCCTGTCCCTGCTACTGGCGCTCCAGCCACTCCAGTCGTCCCGTCTCCGAATGTCTCCGAAGCCCATCAGCAGTGGTGGTCCACTCCAAGGGTCCACCTTCCGCTCCTGCGAGCCCTCCCGTGACTGCTGTTAGTCTTGTCCCTGCTACTGGCTCTCCAGCCACTCCAGTCGTCCCGTCTCCGAATGTCTCCGAAGCCCATCAGCAGTGGTGGTCCACTCCAAGGGTCCACCTTCCGCTCCTGCGAGCCCTCCTGTGACTGCTGTTAGTCCTGTCCCTGCTACTGGCGCTCCAGCCACTCCAGTCGTCCCGTCTCCGAATGTCTCCGAAACCCCCAGCGACCAACTCGTGCGGCAGCTGACAAGGCCCGGCAGAATATTGCAAAGTGGACAGCTGTATCGTTGCTGCACGTACACATCCCACACGCCTGATAAGTTTGACCGTGTCAGAGTGTGAGGATTAGGTGGTGCTTGGTCCAATTGGCAGTGACCTCACAAGCACATAAAACTTTCTGTATGCCTGTTTACCTGCTTGCTGTGTGTGTGTGTGTGTGTGTGTGTGTGTGTGTGTGTGTGTGTGTGTGCGTGTGTATCTGCATTGCTTATGCTCTATAAGTTACCTCCCGGTGTACATTCCCGGTCGGCTGGAGTGTCGCGGCGACCTTGTCGCGCGATTTGTATCATGTTTGTGCCTGTTCTTGTTTCAGTACAAAACGCTAGTTCCATGCCCACGTTCCCGTGCTTTGTATGACTTGTTCTGGCCCACGTATGCATGACTGTACATGTACTTGTCAAGGCACGTGCATGCAGCACAGTTTGGCGCGCTTTTGCGAATGTGTTTGCTTCTCCCACGGTGGTGGGTTTTTATGCTGCTCTTCTTGGACACGAGTGGTTTTCAGTTTTGTTGTTCTCTAGTATTATTCTTCGAAAGAGCGATTACTACAGACTCATTTGTCCTATGATGTGTGCCACCTGTAGAGGTGAGATCGGACTTGTGACCTGTGTTGATAAATCGAGAGATTGGGAATTCTAATCTTTCGACAGTGGTTATGGAATCTGGGAATTTGACCCGGACAACAGAACACGTGGTACGGAAAACGTCGTGTACCCACATGTATATCGGGGAGTTTCACGCTTTCAATTATTATTATTTCAATGTCCTGGCCAGCGGGTGCTGCTAGTACAGCCGTTGTTTTTCATTCATTTCTCCGCTCAGTACGATGTGCAGTGAAGCTTATAACGTACTTGTGCATCCACTAAATGAATGGACACGTCTATGGAGAGAAAGTGACGCTTGCTAAAGGTGTCAATGTCTCGTGGCAGTACTATGCTGTCATCACGGAACTTTGCCAGAAAACCGCTTTGACATCCCGAGTTCGTAGCTCTTAAAAAATATTAATATCACCCATGGAGCGGGCACACGTGCGGACTACGCTTAGTATTGCATCACAAGCTTGCAGAACAGAAAAAAAGTGACAGCGAGCGTTTTAGTCGTACACCGACGCTCGAGACGCAGCTCTAACTAAGTCTAAGCTATAAAAAGCTGATCACAATCTCAGTTCATATTCGTTCACTTCGTATTCAGGGGAGACTGACAGCCGATAACACCTATCATCATGCTCTGCATCCCCATGTACATTATAATTATGTAGCGGAATGAATGACCTGAGTTCTGAGAGTAAAGATGTGCGAACTTTTACTATTCATCAACACTTTTCTACTTTTGTTCCACATGTATCAATTGGCCAAAAACTGGTTAATGGAAGCTCCGAGTCTTGATTGACGATGGTGATAAAGAGCATGCATTCGTAGTTTGTTTTGCCGTGATAAGGTTCCTATCTCCCCAAAACTTAAGATATAAATTTAGAATGTCTTTTGATTTTGTCGGTCTGTAGATCAGTTTGCCTATGCGTTGCGTGACTAACTGACAGTGATCATCGACTTGCACACAGGCCTGTATTCGCCTTGCAAGCCAGGACTACAATTACTCATCTAGTCACCTGTGTATGCTGCGCCTTTGCTTCGTGTGGGGGACCTGGTCCATGGGATTGTAGGTTTTTGTTCAGATAAACACCTAAACTTAGTTCCAGAAGACACCAAATCGCGACCGACAAAGAATAGCAGAGTGGAGAAAGCTTCGGTTCTTGCAGCAAAAGTGACGTGAAAGCACACACACAGATAAACAACGTATGTTAAAAAGTACGCGTATTGTTGATTTGGACACACATGCAGCAAAAGATACAAATCCGAGAAGAAAGAAAAAGGCCCAACCCTGCCCTGCCAGTTATTTGGACTTACGGGGGTCGCCATGGCAAATAATAAAAAAAAAACTGCACACGTTCGGGCTCTCCGCCTTCTCCGTGAAATTATAATACCGTAAAAAGAAAACTAGAGGGGAAAAAAGAAGCAACAATGAGGAATAGGAACTGATTTAGGAACCACTTGCAGTCAATTATACAGGGCAGCTGGCCTCGGCAACGGCCAAGGTAGCAGATGCATCCCTGGTCCTTCTGCCAGTAACAATTTGCAATAAACGGTCTTAGTAAGACATAATTATCACATTCTGAAACATTCTGCGATAGCAATGCCTTACACTGGCAAGCAAGATGGCAAGCACTAGTAAGCAAAGTTATTGAACTAATACAAGTGTTCACGCAAACACGGTGACGAATGCAGTGACAATCGATAGGAGAATGGAAACGCTAGCAATAATTATCACTATCTTCCCCCCCCCCCCGATCGGTGAGCTGTACAGAACACACAGAAACATACCAGGCACACACACACATCAATTTATCCGACTGACAAATTAGCTCTATAACAATCCAGACAGCAAGTTTCACGATGAGGCACATGCATGTGTGCGTATGTGTGTGTGTGTGCCAGCTAGTTCGGTTGGTGCGTACATGTATGCAAGATAGTGTTGAGACTGTTGCGAACGAGCTCGGCTGCTTGAATGTGTAATGTTGTACCTTTGCTGGTTACATGTTTCACATACTTTCTATTTGAAGTATACATGCCTGTTAACCATAGACTACTTCTGGCTACAGAAACTTTTGTGTAAACAATGGTTGAAGTGAAGCTTTTATCAGATCCTCTCTGGTTTAGCCACCCACACTAGTAGCAAGAATTACCTTCACTGGGGGCAGTGGTAAATGCTGTTGGATCCTGGGACGGATACTTTGATGCCGTCAATCCATTTTCTGCACCTCAGGTGTGGGTAAGACCCTAAGTGGGATCATTTCCAAGTCCACCCATAGTTTTGGGGTTTCAGGGGTGTAGGCGGCTGAGCGGTTCAATAGCCAATTGGGCCATCTTTCCAAGATTCCTTTTGAGTGTCTTCCCTCTCCTGGGGAGACCTACGTGAGCAGTTTTGGCAGTGAGCAAGTACAAGTACAAGTGTGTGTGTGTGTATGTGTGTGTATGTGTGTTCAAGTGTGTTTGTTTGTGTGTGTGTGTGTGCATGTGTGTGTGTGTGTGTGCATGTGTTCAAATTTTTGGGTTAGTGTGCGGGTTTGTGTGTGTGCGTGTGTGCCTGTCTTGATGTGGGTCTGTGTGTTTAGCATGCAAGACTCTAGGCTTGAAGGAAGTGAAAATGGCCGTGTTGCACTGGACATAATAACTCACGCTGTCCTATAGCTTCCTCAGGCGACGCCACCACGATTGGTTTGGCGGGCTGGGTAGTGCTTGTCCCTCAATTGTCGCTGTTCCCTTCACACACACATACCACAGGTGGACAACGGCATAAATATTGATTATACACACACAGGCATGGTTGTGTTGGACCTGCAAGCCACACAGGAGTTCATTGCGGGACAAGCCTTGTGACAAGGGCTGATATAATAATGTGCATCAAACATGCGCATACGATACACAGATGGGTGAGAGAGGAACAGTACGCAACTAGACAATGTTTCGACAACCAATGCACACTGCATCTCCTTTTCCGGGGAGGGAGGCGGGGGGGGGGGGGGGGGAGGGGGGGGGGCAAAGAGACAAGAAACACGTTTGTACATATCTATCCCTTTCCGGAAGAGAAGAAATGTTTAGAAGAAGGTCAAGAGTGCATATAAACGAGATCCAGAGACAAGCTAGGACCATGCAGGGTACATGCATTTTGCAAGGTCCCGAAGGAGAGAACCAGATAAAGAATTTCTAGCCAAGTTATCAAATTAAACAGATGCAAGAAGAAAAGCACGAGCGGCCCCTATCCCCATATGTGGCAAGGTCGTTGTGAAGAGGCGCAGCATCCTGGTGGACTGCAACAACGAGAACAGGATGTGACCATGTAAGAGTGTCTGCATGTCTGGTATCGATAGCTTGGTACGATGCCGATTGCCTAACAATGAACAGTTACTATGAGTGAACTTCCGATATGCAAAACAATATAATTATAAAATAATGAAGTAAGTTGTTTAAATTAGTGGTGGCAGTGGTGGTGGATTTGGTGGTGGTGGTAGTGTTGGTGGTGGTGGTAATGGTGGTGGTGGTAATGGTGGTGGTGGAGGTGGTGGTGGTGGTGGTGGTGGTGGTGGTGGTGGTGGTGGTGGTGGTGGTGGTGGTGGTGGTGGTGGTGGTGGTGGTGGTGGTGGTGGTGGTGGTGGTGGTGGTGGTGGTGGTGGTGGTGGTGGTGGTGGTGGTGGTGGTGGTGGTGGATTTGGTGGTGGTGGTGGTGGTGGTGGTGGTGTTGGTGGTGGTGGTGGTGGTGGTGGTGGTGGTGGTGGTGGTGGTGGTGGTGGTGGATTTGGTGGTGGATTTGGTGGTGGTGGTGGTGGTGGTTCTGGTGGTGGTGGTAGTTGTGCTAACATTCCTTTTTTTTGCTGGTGTTGTTTATGATTTTTGTGTGGCTAACGGTGTCTGTGGTGGTGGCATTCGTAGTCATGGTCGTCTTGGTGGTCGCCGTGTTGCTGAGAAACGCGAAACATCACGAGGTGTTTGACTCACCTTCAGAGAGCTAGCGATATTGTCGGCCACAGCTTGCGACGGGGTGGTCCACCAAGATAGCAGCCTGGCCTTGCCCGCTGCCTCCCCTGATACCACCCTGTCCCAGCGTGATAGCAGGCTGCTAGACACTGCCTTGTTCTGGTCTTGGGCAGGCTCAAGAAAGCCACTGTCAAAGGCAGCGCAAACCAGCACCATGTCAAACTCTGTGAGGAGAAATCGGCAATAGAGAATAGAACGTATTCTTGTCTTTCATCGGCTTGAAGGCATTACAAGAGAAAATCTGGAGAAACGTCATAGCGACCGCTGCAATGTACGTCGCTATTAGGGTGACGGTTATAGCTTCTAAGGCTTCAGGGCGTTTTGGGGAATATAAATGCAATAATTCCACCACAGACTTGGGTGTTCCTGTAAGTTCCTGTATTGCCCGAAAACTGATAACACTACATGTGCTTGAAAGGACTATTTTCATGTGGACGTGTTTACCTGAAAGGTTGTGCAGCAGTTTTGTCAGTAGATTCTGCTTGTCCACTAAGTCAGCGCTGTCCAAGATGATCGCCACGTTGGCCGCTCCAAAAGGCCCAAGCCTCGAGTCAATGTTATCTTGCTTCAAGGATGCGATGGATGCAATGTCTGGAACTCTCCAAGGGAGCAACTGGACGGTGGACACATCCACATCAGGGATGCAAGTCTCCTGGAACACTTGTACCTTGACAGCAAGGAAAGTTTGGGAAAATAATGTATTTTTAGAAATAAATGATGCACTGGTTTTTTTTAGGGAAGAGACCGCTTGTGTTGGCGATGGTGCAGGGTTTTCCCTGTTTTGAAGTGACTGGAGCGGAGCTTGTACAACTTTGAAATTATACTCAGGTCCCCGGCCTTCTTTACAAACACACACATGCATGCCTGGTATGCCATAGATATTTCTTTTGGACCGGACCCTATGCGGTCTGTTTACCATAGTATTTCTCCTAATATTATTGTTTTGAGTGGGTCGTCGTAGTCCCTTGAGTTCATGAAGTCAAGCAAGAGCTCGAAGCTGAGCACCAGTTATTTCAAGTGATCTCGACATAGCGACTGGCGCTGATATTTCTTTTGGACCGGACCCTATGCGGACCCTATGCGGTCTGTTTACCATAGTATTTCTCCTAATATTATTGTTTTGAGTGGGTCGTCGTAGTCTCTTGAGTTCATGAAGTCAAGCCTCTCTCCACACTATACTTTTCGCTATATACTTTTTCAATCTTTTTTTGTTTCTCTTCTTCGCCCGATTTTCTGATGCGTGAAGTAGGCGCGGATGCAGAGACCATTGGTCGGCGGAGCCTGCAGCACCCCATCACAACCGCTGCGTTGCATTTGCAGCCCCATTCAGTCAATGTCTTGTTAGTCTGTTGTTTTGTCATTTCCTGCTTCTTTCTTCTTTTACGAATTGGGTGCGTGGTTTCAAGTAAAAAAAAAAAAAAAAAAAAAAAAAGCAAGAACTCGAAGCTGAGCACCAGTTATTTCAAGTGATCTCGACATAGCGACTGGCGCTGACGCTAACTCAGAAATGGCTGTATATGTTACTCGGATGCGAGTACACATGTTTTAAAGTATCTACATGACATTGTAACGTTATTCTGTTGTTATGTAACCCTTTGCTTACTTCACCATAGGTACAGGCATTGCTACCTTCGCGCTGTGGATCATGAATCATGCCACAGCTCCTAGGATTTTTTCTCTTGAAAGTGTTTGTATTTGTACTTAGGCATTTTTAAGATACCCTAAAGGCTGGTATCAAGCAGCATTCCTCATGGACGGCCCAAAATTCCATGTTCTTTTGTTTCCTAATAATATTGATATTTGAAACTTTTAAATCCCTTCTGTTTTGTCATTCCCAAGCCACGATGGAGTACAGCTAAATCCACAACCCATTCCTTCCTATATTGCTCGAAATTATGCCTCTTCTACTCAACTTTCCTTTTTTCAGCCCGCAACTCACTTTCGAACCCCAAAAGACGGCAGTTTTGCCTGCTTTGTCCGTGTGGGTATTATTAATTTTTTTAGTTCTAATAAAAAATTTAAGAGAATCACGGCAATAGCAGCACATTTAAAACGGCAGATCAGAGTTGGTTTCAGAACAGTGGGATGCTATGCGCAATTGAGTGAATTAGAGATACACTTATTTTACTGGGTATAATCCGACCCTTTAGGTCACGTAGGCAGCATACATAGTGGGATGGTCTAATACCCTGATTGAGAAACAGAGGGTTAAGCACCGGCGGATTATGCTCGCGAAATCATGGAATTCTGCTTTCATGGATTCTCGTATTATGCTCGCAAAATCCTCATAATTATGCTTTGGCACGCGGGGATGCATATTCCCTTCATTTGTACTTACGGAGCCTCAAAGTTAGGAAAATTGTGCCTTTTTCGTTCTGGCAAGTGGCCATAAGTACAACAAAATACATGAGCATCCCCATACCAAGGTGTCCATGCATGCTAGAGATCAACATGGAAAAGAGAAAACATTACGCATTCTATTCATTCGTTGATTTCTTTTTGTAAAAAGATCTTTTCATTGCCAAATTAGTTGGTTACCTTTGAAAATTAGATTGTTCAACTGTCTTCGTAATCGTCATACTCGTCCAACCGATTTCACCCTCACCCTGCGAATAATCAGCTCATCTCTCCCATAACTCCACCTCTCCTTCCATCATGACCGAACATCAACTATACCTCAGTTCTTTTAAATTATTGGAACAATATTCATAGCCTGCACAGTCATTGCTGCTAAAATCCAGAGGTCATGACTTCGTCACATGCATAATGTACATGTACGCGGAGTTTTGGGGACTACCCGTCACTATCTCGTCTGCCCCGGGATACCTGATAAAGACTGATTTACTCGGCATCGTCTGCTACATGACCTGTATCAGTGTGAGAAAGAACTTTGAAGAAGACGAGTTCGAGCATACAATAATAATGTATTGCCATGATTTCTTCCCTGGTTTTCATTGTAAACACTACTTCAGAAGTATCTGCATGACCTCCGAACCAATCACCATGCAGACCACAAGCACTGATCAGGTGCATTGTACACAATTGTGTAGCCTACATACTAGAACTGTGCTACAATCATGTAGTTATGCTCCTACCTCCTAAAGGATGCTAAATAACACTCCAAATTTTCAACCACCAAATTATGCCAATAATCATGCCGGCAAAATCCTACAGAGGGTACCAGGTCCAAGTCCTGCTTGGGAGCGGACGGAATTTTCCTGCGGTGCTGCAACCCACAGTAAATTGGGAACTCGTGGCCTGGTAAGAGAGAAGCATGGATGCAATGAATAGGAATTTCGATCCAATTTCGACCACTTTGCTGGTGGGCTGGTCCACTCACCTCCCACCGCTTTAGCCTAATAGGAGCTGCATGTGCGCCTTAAATCCTTGCAGGGTAGCAGCGTATGCTGAAAACTCAATCTAACTGAGTTGCAAGCGAACCGTGAAATTGATTTGGACATTTTAAAAACCAATCCAGTATGGGGTAATCAGCTTACAAGTACAACCAGAGATTGGAAGACATTGGCATGAGAAATGGAGGCCCTATTTATGGGAGGGAGGCTGATTTAGAACTGAGCCGGCTCATATACAAGTAGAACACCCCTTGTTTCTCACCTGCCTAGGGTACTCAACGTTCCTCTCTCCCTTGCTTGTGATCAAATGGATGCGAAGCTGGCGCAGCAGAGTGGAACGTCTCTGCCTATCATTGTACTTATGTATGAAAACGTGGGACTCAGATGGCACGGCCTCTGATCTGAGAATACTTTGCCTCTCGCTTATCTTGCCGATGTCCCGTTGCATCACCCACCTTGTGACCTGATTGACTGGAGCTGGACTTCGCAGCAGCTCCATGGAGGGTTGTCGGGGGGTCGTTGGCGAGTCGACGCGGAAGAGAAGGTCGGCAAAGAAGCGACTCTGCGCTTGCGTCACCTTCTGCCAGATGCCAAACACGTGACCAGTCTGTCCGTTCAGGTCACTGGGTGGGAGCTGCGCTTCTAACCTGTCTTCCGTAACAGTGGACCTGACCATCACCGTATTGGGCGTATCCATCTCCGACTGCATCACGATAACAAGGCCTGTTGCGTTCGCCAATACACATGAAAAAGGCACGCATGTGTGCACCCACACACACACACACATCCACATGCACGTACGTACACACACACACATACACACACATACACATAATATAAACACGCACAAACACACACAAATGAACTGTTCGAGGTTCAAACATGCCCAGCAGTACTCATTGTCTCTAATGCGTAGTAGAATTGATTACTGTGTGCAGTACATGTATGAGCTCACTATTGGGCACTGTACAGTATGGCGCAAGAATCTCCATATCAAGTTTCACTAATCAAGAACTGAAGATCTATGTATGTATATATGTAGGGGGAAGTGGTCCCGTCCACCGCAAAGAGGGCTCTACAGCGCTGAGGACCGCTTCCATTATGTATATAATTATGTATGTATGTATTCGCTCCTGCTCTTGTAGCAGTTGAGCACTCTCATGTGGGGTAGTGCCTTTGCTGTTTGCATTACGCAGATCTCACTGACTTGTGAGTTTGAGCACTCTGGCAAGGTACGTTCGGGCCTGATTTAAATCTGGCTTTGGAAATTTTATTTTCATTGCTATCAGGCTTGGCCTCATTTTCTCTGTGCTGCGCTGAGGAGTTCACAACGAACGAAACAGCATGCTGTCCGCAGATTGAGTATGTATGTATGTATATCTTACCCTTAAATAGGCCGAGCTACCAGCCATGGTTTTAAAGGAGGCACCACAGACATTGTATCTCTTACCATGACATTTCTTCTTCAGTGCGTCATACAGAGGTAGAAGAGTGTTGGACTGCATATCGAATGTTCTCGTAATGGCACCACGGTTACTGTCGTCTAGCAACAGCATGCCCAGCACTCGCGTGGATCCGGTCACGTCCATGTCCATCACGTCCCGCGCTGACTCCTTGATGCGGCCCGGGATGATCAGGGTGTTCTCCAGGTGGTGCCATTCAACTGTTGACTCGCGTTGCCGTGCATAGTAGCCCGCGATATGCTTCAGGTGGGACAGGGCCTGTGTTGAAAAATGGAAAGACGCAAGTGCACATGCATAAGCATGCAGACGTGGACATGGGTACATACATGTACATGTAGACTATGCACACGGCAAACGCGCTACTGTGAAAGCCATTATTCTAACGAGGCGCATATATAACGATTTACTAAAATTGACTGGTTTACGTGTACCAAAGGCAACGATTCTTACTCATTCTCAACGCTCAATGGAACATTATGTATCGATTTCGGGATAACGATTTCTATTTTAACGACAAATTTCTCCTCGTTCACTCGTTAGAGTTAGCACTTCGTTATATATATGGTTCTTACAGTATGTTCGAAAGAGCAACTTTTGCTGGGATTGCCCCATTTGCAAGCTTCCCTTGCCGATGAACTGACACTCATACACACATATACGCGCATGCACTCGCATACACACGCACGCACAGGCACACATACACGCACACCCTTTACAGCTGTCCGGGCATGGTCGGAAATTCCCGGAATTAAATGTGAGAGTGAAGTTTGAGAAAGAGGTGCATAGGGTGCAGACCCAGAAGCCTTTCATGCTTGCAGGGACAAGGGCAACAAAGCCAACTCAGAACAGAACTGAGACTGGGAGGCTGCAACTCAGCCACCATGTTACAGTCAAGCAAACAAAGCCAGACAGATCTAACAAAGACTATCGTGAATGGAGTTATCATTGTGAGCAGATTGTCAAGCTTCATTTTCTTTTTCCTTAATAAGATTTTGTTTTTGCTTTATAGTTAGTGTTTACTGTTTAGTGTTCTTGAAATTGACTTTGAGCCAGGTGATAGACGTAGTAGCATTTTATGTCCCTGCCCTGGGTATACCCGACAGGTTCAACAGGTGAAATCCTCTCTTTAGACCCTACCTCCTCTCTCCTCTCTCCTTTCAGAGTCTGGCACATCGTAACGGCGATGACGTCATAGCGCTCACCTCGGCGTTCCGCGTACACTGAGAGTGGAAAGATAGTACAAGTAATCTTTGGTGCAAGGGTCTATACAAAACCTGACGATGTACAGCTGCAGTACTCGCCAAACAAATTCGCCCAGTGCTGCACATGGTAGTCGACTACGATGCATGCAGCATTGGCCGGTCCGGCGCATGCTTTTGTCAATTGTTGTAGATGTGACTATGGTATTAGTGTTAGTTTCTTAGTCAATTGTGCTAAAAAGATATTTACTTTTCTTTTGTGGCTTCTCTTCCAAATACTCCCCCCCCCCCCCCCCCCATGCCTGGGTTACTCGGTGTTAAGTTGTTTCCTTGGCATTGCATCTGACCAGCCGGTTTGGCTTGCGAATTCGAGTAACCAAAACCCAACCAGCTGGTTTCAACTGATAATGTTCCAAACTGCAACATCCTAGTTTACATCGGTACACCGAAAAGCAGCGTAACTCCAAATGGTTGGAAGGAGGATGGTTGGGAGAGAGAGAGAGGGGCGGGGGGGGGGGGGGGGGGAGAGAGAGGTTGTGAATTACTAAAGTCTAGAGTCGTTGTCTGATAACTGGTTCAGCCAGGAAGCTCTTAGTCACACCGGAATTTGCCCAAGGTTTTCATTGTGTGCCTCTGTGTAAAGTCTAGTGTATTTTATCTGATATAATTAGGCATGATGTGCCATGAGATAATGATATAAATACAAATAAATGTATGCCCTGTTAACCAGACGGCAAGCAGTGTTTAGAGCGATCTCTGGTGACACAATCATGGTGTTGCTGGAATACTGCAGTAGCCCATGCATCAGCCGTCTCCTCAAACTGGATTGCGTTTTGATGCTTGAATTTCTGTCTTCACGCCTGCCCCGGACTCCCCCGTTCTTTTCGCTCCCCAATTTTTGCACATGCTTATCGTGCTCCCTGATTTCCTGAAGCATCCGAATGCATCCTCAACATTTCCTTGCGATACAATGTTTGGATCGGGCCCCACACTGCCGCAGCAACCAAGAGCTAGTCCGTACAGAGCTATATGTAATAGTGGCTTGTTCCGACTTGAACACTTCTCCACGCCCATCGCACTCAATGCAATCCTTTCTACTCACTTTCTATGACGTGCTTACTTTCGATAATGCAGTCAGTCCGCTTGAGTTGTTTGCTGAGGAACGGTGTGTGAGCTGAAGACGTTTCCTGCTGGGTGCAGCCGGATGGTAAGAGTGAACGCAGCTACCGTCACTAGAAGAAGGATACCTGGTTGGAATACAGGACAATAATGTTTACTATTTCTCGGACACAGAAAACTGGTGATGCATGCAACTCCACAGTCACACACTCCACCAAAGCCAGGCTATGATGAGCTTTAGTTCCTTCGTATCCTGAGTGAAAAGCTGAGATAGCACGCCGAGTGAGCAGCTCCTTGCTCCCAGTTTCTAGATCTTGCTTTGCTGCCGTGTGTATGAACGTTTAGCTACCGGCCGCGCGCCGCGAAGTGACGCCATTACATTACATCATGCTGATGGCCGTACTGTCATGACCGTACGGGCCATGCAGGACTTTGTGTTGGGTTTGATGATCCGAGTATCCGCGATGCGAAAGGCAAAGACAGTCTAGTCGCGTATTAATCGGTGCTCTCTCGGTAGCACTGGCAGAAAATGTCTGTCGTCGTGTCGACCAGGAAAACAGAGATCTCCTGGACATCAAAACAATATCGAAACTTTCCGAGAGTCTGAAAACAGTTTGAATGGGCATTGGAAATATGAAGCGGCACAGAGATCTAGTTACCTGGTACCTGTGTACTGCACACGATGCCTGATCGTCAGGCCAGGGCGTGAGTTGGGTACTGTCTTGTGGGCTGGCCAGTAACGCTAGCGCAACATGTACTACAGTTGAACATCGATTATCCGACCACCTCTGGGCAGACAACTGTCAGGCGCTAGGCGGTGTTCAGATAAGGCAAATGTTCCGGAGTGTAGTGTAGTAGTGTTCAATAGTGAGGTTTTGCATTCCGAAATTCGGCAAAAAGATTCGGAACGCGGGAGCGAGGTCGAAAATGCACACGAAGATTCGGAGTGTTTGTTCGGAAAAAGCTCACTTTGCCGAAAATATTTTTCGGATGCATTTTCTTGTAGAAGAGCGCTAGCGGGTGATTTATTCAAAGAGGTTTCTTATCTCGGCATCGCTTGGCAGGCGTCTTTGGCGACATAGCATCGTCAGCTACCTCTGATTGCTCCTCTCCGCTGCCTGTCGACTCTCTTTCGCCTGGAGTGTCCTCACCGTCATCTGTGTGGCTGAAAAGACTATGGCGACACGCATAAAATTTGACTTGGCCATGGAGTTGGTTTTTCTGAGGCGACTGAGGAGGCAGGTTTGGCCCTCGACTCTTTGGGCGATCAAAGTTCGTTGGAATCAGCAAGAAAAGGAGCACGGGACAGGACGTTGCTGATGCTGGGGCTCACGAAATGAAAACACATCATTTTCGACTTGCAAAACAAACGTTGGTGCGAAAATTCGACATTTTGATGTTCGACAAGTAACCGAAGAACGCTGTACCGAAATTCGGAATGCAAAACCTCACTATTATACTAGTACAAGTCATGTAGGCAGAGTACATCAACTGTCTATGCAGACTCTTGATAGTGCTAGTACTAGTAGAGTACGAGTTTCACGCCAAAGCCAAAGGCGATTTACTAACATCAGAAAACAAAAAAAGCGAGGATCGAGGATCCATGGTTCGAGTCATGGTGGTGACAGTCAAATTTTTCTTCAGACCTTTGCCGTTTGTAGTTATGTGTTTTGCAGTCCAGTGTCATTGTCAGTTGGAAGTGCGAGGTGCACCTAGTACCTGCGTTTGGCAGCATCTAATAGTACTTCACTGTAAGTGTAAGTGTAAGCTTATCGTCCTTATTCGAAGTCTTGTGTATGATCTTGTGCACACGGAGTGTGTGCAGTAGTCTGAAAGGGGGTTTCCCCGTGCTTGGTTACTGTGGTACCGTACCGGCGACCAGTGCATTACGAAACGCATGTCGTCACTGTGCCGCGCTGAGCTAAAGTTGCTAGTGGTATCAATCTAACTTTCGACACGAAACTGAAATGCGGCCACGTCGCACTAGGACTGGACCGAGCAGCCAGGTAAGCCCCTTCGTGAACTGTGAAATCCATGTCCAGGAAGCATTTTGACCGTGTGCCGGCGCCCTCACTGCGTCCAGAACGCTAGCACGACTCATGAAAGTATCTAGTTCTACGGTTCAAGAAACATCCTGTTGATGTTGGAACTCCGTTTGGGCATTTTAGAGTCATTGCCTACACATATTCTGGTAGCATGGGTATGAATTTCGGCTGCCTGAACGGTCGCAGTGCAGCAGATATCGGAGCGCGACCTGAGCGCTCGCTGCGCCAGTACCGGCCACACGCCATTGCGGCGGATTGGGCCGAGTCTCCTACAACAACCAGTCACCCGCTGGTGGAGCTAAGAGAAACTGCCGGAGGGGTGCTATCCGAAGTTGATGTAAGGTGACAATTTATTGTTTCCAGTGACTGGTATTGACATACCTTCTGGTAGACATTAGATTGTATGTGTGTACACACTGTACACACTGTACACACTGTACTGTACACACTACACAGTAGTACATACACATCAGATTGTTTTTGAAATATTTCAGTCATTCGAAAACTACACAAGATCCTTCTTTTAACGGGGAAACTAAGGCAAAAATCAAGATTTCATCAGTTGTAGTCTTCGGGGTGCTGAGCCGAATGGTCTTGGTCCGAGAAAGCTGAGACGCTCCCTTCCTACTTGAATCCCAATCGAACTCGCGCACTTCCACCGAAACTGGGTGACTGCGCCCTGCTAGATGGGGATTTGTATGCAAAATGTCACTAAAAGCGCCATTTCGTTCTTATAAAAGCACGGATGACCGCGATTGGTCCATATGTTGTAGTCTTTTGGACGCTGAGTCGACTGGTTTTGGTCCGAAAAGGCTGCGATGCAGCGTTCCTGCTTTATTCCCAATCGAACATGGTTGAACAAGCGGTCACGTGCTCCTGCGTGCCCAAATCACCTGGTCACCACGCCATCAGGCGACAACTTTCACACCAAGGTTCAACTCGAGTTCAACTCAACTGACAGGAGTGCACCCCAAAAAGGTCAAACAGGCTAGTAAGTTGTACCCTGCAGGCACGGTGACCAGGTGGCTGTTTTACGCAGGAGCACGTGACCGCTTGTTCAACCATGTTCGATTGGGAATAAAGGAGGAACGCTGCATCGCAGCCTTTTCGGACCAAAACCAGTCGACTCAGTGTCCAAAAGACTACAACATATGGGCCAATCGCGGTCATCCGTGCTTTTATAAGAGCGAAATGGCGCTTTTAGTAACATTTTGCATTCAAATCCCCATCTAGTAGGGCGCAGTCACCCGGTTTGGGTGGAAGTGCGCGAGTTCGATTGGGATTAAAGTAGGAAGGGAGCTTCTCAGCTTCCTCAGACCACGACCATTCGACTCAGCACCCCGAAGACTACAACTGGTGAAATTTTGATTTTTGCTCTAACTTCCCCTTTAACATCCATATAAGTTTAACTGTTCGAGGAAATGGAAAATGGATGATGAGCCAATGTAACGATGGATAAAAAAAAAGGCAGGACAAAACGTTACACCTCTTAACTAACTGTCCACCAAAGTATAAAGATCATGAATAGTCAGCCAGTCAGCCACTCAGCCAGTGCAACAACATGGCCCAAACCTGACAGGGATTCATTTCTGAGATATTCAAAGACCTAGCTCCAACACTTCTACGAGGCGAAAGCCCGCAACCTTCCTACTTGGAAGGCTCAGGTTAGGAAATGTCCAATGAGGGGAAGGAAGCTTTAATTAAACTTCAGAATTATAAAATAGATTCTGAGGCTACGCACCTATCCTCATCCCTGTCACTCCTAGATCAGTAACATTGTACAAAGCTCTACGATGGCCACCGAGGCAAATCAAGAACAGAAGCGAGATGACAAGCGCCATGATGCGGATGAAGTTAACACTCCCTGTGGCGCGAGAAACACATTCTGCCAGGATGCCTTCTCTCCACCAGCGTCAGGAGCAGCTGCTGCTACAGCCTCTAGCCAAGGAGAAGCGCTGAACCGGGCAAGTGACCTGGCCATTCACGCTACACGGGCGGACAAGATTGTAGTGCTTCATCTGAACTTCGTCTCGGCCTGGAGGCGCCGTGAAGAGAATTCGGTGAGTCTGATGCTACAAATGTCAAAGATAGGCCAATAGAAAATTATTCTCATCAAATCAGTACACATTCTCTGAAAAAAAACCTTTGTGACTTTTTTTATTAACATTCTAAGGAGTAACTTAGAAGTAACTTGGCTCAAAAAATCAGGTGAGGAGGAACATAATCACTTCAGTCCAAAGAGTGCTCGGGATGTACTTTTGAAGTATGTACACTGCTATACAAAATGAATTGGCACTGTTTGAGGGTCACTCTGATTCATCATCAGTCGATTCCTCAGAGCTCAATTTACCAAAACTGATTACCGTATTTCCCTGATTATCAGTCACACTCGATCATAAGTTGCACCCCATTTTTAGGTTTGAGCAATATCGCTCTGACACGTACGTGACTTCAGTAGTAAGTCAAGCTTGATTTGTAAGTCGCACCCCCTTTTCTACCCTTGATTTTTGTGCAAAAAAGGTGCGACTTATATTCGGGGAAATGCGGTATTCATTCAAAGTCATGAAGTTTTGTTTACGGAGAAAGACTTAGTACGGTCACTCTTTAATCCAGCTCTTTACAAGCCAGCTGCGTCTACACTATAGGACAGCGTTATATAGGACAGCAATTGGTCACGGTCGGTACACATAGGGACTACTTTAGTTGGATTACCTCCATATTGGCTGCAGAACTTCAAGAAAATGTTCCGACTGGTGTCAGACAGGCTGTACTTTACGAATCTGAATATTCACAACAGACTTTGACACAAGACAGGCGAAAAGAAAAGAAAAGAGAGAGAGAGAGAGAGAGAGAGAGATTTCTGAGTGATATCCTAATGACTAAATAGAATTTTATTTCATCTACGTTGAGATAATGGTTTAATAATAACGGTAGCTATGAAAAGTAAGAATACAACAAACATCCCCACGCAACATGACAAAACGTTAGAGGTTTGGAATTGTGTGTTTTCATAACCATATTTCCAAGCTTGAACCTCCACCAAGTTGTCATGTTGCGTGGTGATGTCTTCTGTATTCACACTTTTCATAGCTAGTATTAAATATATCATATTATTGATGTAACATACCATGATGTAACATACCATTATTTTCGTAGCTTATAATCTGGAAAAAAGAGAATGCTGTGAGGTTAAATAATTTGCGGCTATCCTTACATACAGAGGTTTTTGAAGACATTTTTTTTGATTTACTAAAAGGCGGTGAGAAGACAATTATTTTCAACGCGTTGATCATTTAATCTTCACTTTCTTTTTTTGTTTTTGAACGCAAACTTCAAAGCTGACACTTTTATACACTCTTATGAAACTTCACTCATCCATCTTCTAATCAATATTGAAGGTCGACCTCTTTATAAGGGGCATTTACTCAATCTGCAAACAGAACTGTCTCGTCCGTTGTAGACTCAGCAGCGCAGAACAGAGAAAATGATTCCGAATCTCTTAGCAATGACAAAAAAAAATACAAAGCCATACTTAAACCAGGCCTGAAAGAAGAAAGAAGAGGAGGCATTTATAAATATGTCTTCTTCTGCATTGTGTTCGTCGCAGCCATGGACATCAATTAAACAGATGATGGAATTAATGGCCAAAGAGCACGATATCTGTGTGGAATGGAAGAGACTGGAAGGCATCTTATCGGTTAAGGGCATTGCTACAAAGGCCCAGGAGGTTCAACGCTGCATCGAGGAGCACAACAGAGAAAGCGGGGTGTGCGTCATCGGTGTCCTTAGCATGGACGACTCTAATCGCCACGCTCTTACTCACGAGTTAGAACAGCAGTCAAACACCTTGAAGCCAGTGTATGACAAACTACGAGATGGCACAAAAAAGCGTGAGTTCTTACTCTTACTTGTTGCGGCGGGGGGTGGGGGCGGGGGGTGGGGGCAGGGGGGGGGGGGGGGGTAAGTCGACGACTGTAGCAAGTGCAATGTTGTTTTACCTTCAGTTAGAAATTTGCAATGTGTCAAGTCTAAGGAGTACTATGGATCTATTATTCCTTAAAATATTAAAAATAGAAGGACCAAGGAACTACAACTACTCCTTGGCTCTCCATCCGAGTCCATTCCCTACAATATCCTGCTCAAATGGTCGTGGTGCTTGTTTGGCAGACATGCACATCATGTACTTGAATTTGTCATGCGTATGTGCGCTGTGCACAAGGTGCGTATGTGCGCTTTGCACAAGGTGCGTGTGTGTGCATGCATGTACTTATAATTATCTGCACGGGCGTTTTGCGTGTGTCCATCTGGATATTCGTTTGTGTGTGTACGACTGAATATTCGTTTGTGTGTGTGTATGCGTGTCCATCTGGGTATTCGTTTGTGTGTGCATATGTGTGTGTGTGTGTGTGTGTGTGTGTGTGTGTGTGCGTGCATGTTCGTGTGTGTGTGTATGTGCGTGTGTGTGTGTGTGTGTGTGTGTGTGTGTGTGTGTGTGTGTGTGCATACATTCTGGTGTGGATGCACGTATATGCTGTTCAGTCATGATCGTGTGTCGCGACGAGGCAAGCAAGAGGCTCGGTGCCAGGGTCTGCTCTGTATTTATTCAAGAGAGACTGGAGACCTCCTTGCCACGAACATTTTTTGATGCACCGGGCCCGGGCCTTGTGCTCAGCTGGTGGAATGCAGTATCCAGCAAGCAGCTGGTTGAGATCTCAAAGTTCATGAACATCCAGCCCGAGCCAATCCTCTACCTTGATGGGCAAAAAAGGTCAATAAGCATGCCAAGCCTGCTCCGAATCTGGAATTCTGTATCGTACATAACCAAGAAGACAGTGCCATGGTATGTGGAAAGGCTATCGTGTTGTATTGCAGCTATGTATCTTGCAGCATTTGCCTGGATACATGGTAATTATATTTATGTTGTGACCCTTTATCCCGCCCCCCCCCCTCCCTCTTGTTTCACGTGGGTACTGTTTACTCTCCCCCCCCCCCCCACACACCCCCACCACCTCCACTCCCCCTCTCCCCCCCCCCCCCCACCACCTCCGCTCCCCCCCCCCCCCACCCACCACAACCTCCACTCCCCACCACCACCTCCACTCCCCCCCCCCCACCACCACCTCCACTCTCCCCCCCCCTCCCCTCCACCTTCCCCCAATGAATAAACTTCCAATACAGGAAGATGAACATGATGTGAACTGAATCAAACAATCATATTACTCAGAAATCAAAATGAACTCAAATTTGGATATGCATGACTGTGATCACCCGAACTCCAGCTAGAGACTTTCGCCCACGTGCACCACGCGCTACGCAATACATTGAATGGCCGGGCTTCGGACATACCTGAGATGCCTTATGCTTCTTGGCTGCATTCTGTGTGCTCTCGATGTGCTGTCAAACTAGGCCAACCAAGTTATTGAGCAGTTGCCATACGGTGGAAGTGAGCATGCCAGCCGCCTTCCCATCACAGGGACGAATACGCTCACCGGGAATCTGGTAGAGGAAAAGCTACACAGCATGCAAGAAGGCACCCGCAAAGTTGCTGTCCTATTGGAGTGGAGCGACCAGAGCGTTGAGACGTTCTCGAAGTACCACAACACACTCACAGGTAAACCTAACTGTATTCAACATGGGGGAGGGCGGGGGGGGGGGGAGCTGTCTATCACAAAAGAGCCATCGTCCAATTTTGGACTTGGCAATGTACATGCAGTCTGGGCTTTGGGCTGCTAACCTCACATGGGAGGAAGTTGCCACACATCTGATCAGCAGCAGCAGTAGAAACGAAGACAGTTGCTCGGATGTCACGCCGGGGATACTGTGTTCTATAGACTTATCAATTACTTATGCTTACACCTGCCCATCGCTGAAGCCATGACAGCGAACAAGCTATGCTAGACATTGCGTGGCTGATGAATTGACCGCCACTAATTTTAGCCTCGTCTACTCCACACAGCTGATTGAAGTGGCGTTTTCTGGCCAGTGTATCGCTATTTTTTCTTTTTCTTCTTCTTTATTCACTCTTTTTTGGACGCACACACACACATCCCACTACATACTCCGCCATGCACTAGCTGTTGGTAGCCACCCAGGAGAATGGAAGAAGCGAAACCATGAACGGTGCAATGCCTGTAATCTCATCCACTCTGCCCACACACACACATGCAGCATTCGACATCGTCATCCTCTGCTTCATGGGATACAGCAAGGAACGGGATCGAGAAAACGTTGCGGCAGCAAGGGAAATCTTCAAAGATTGTGAACCAAATGTTCACTTGTGGTGGTGGCATGATCCCAATGAAGCCATGAAGTCTCTAGAAGTACAGGTAAGTAGATGCCAATGGAGGAACTCTAGACCATGTGCATGATGTCACTATGATGTCATCCTTGAATTGCATGATCTTCATGGTGATACAAAGTGGCTGCTAAGGGTAGATAATATGGAGGTAGCATGTGCATGTATGATAATGAGGTCCGTAAGATGTCATCATTGCATGTTATGATTCTCCTGTTGATACCCAACACCTGCATGAGATACATGTGTGGAGTTGGACTAATAAACCTTGTGTATGATGATAGTATGACCGTACAAGGTGATTTGGAACTGATTGGGTAAATTTCAGCCTAACAGCATCAAGTAGTAGTGTATATCTAACCGGAACCTGAGTGCGTCATACATCCCATTGTAGATGTGTGACTGCACCCGATAATTGTGATTGTGCCAATTATCAGCCAATGTCTTTGGAATATTTATGGGTGTCTTTCTTATTCCTATTTGTTTTCTTAGAATATCCCATGGACCCATTAGCATAAGGTGAGCCAAATTCTCTCTTCTCTTTTGCACATACATGTAAATACCTCAGAGAATTCAGGTAGTTTTGACCCATTCAAGTATTTTGTGCCAAAATCTCTCTTTATTAAAATCAGCCCAGCTCCAAGGTCCCTGGAAGATATAATTATTACTGACCAGTGCGAAAAACCTGGACGTCGACTTAGAAAGCTGTTCCTAACAATGTCATAATGTCGTGCAATGACACCAATGCTCTGCTGTTGTTCTTCTCTTTGGTTTGTGTAGAAGAAAGCATGGCGTAAGCGCATGTGGAAGGAGGCACACCAGTATGCGTGGACATTGAAAGACCCTAGGAAACTGCATGTACGTGTAGTTAGAAACAGCAATGTGCTGAGCCACCCACACCCTTAATAAGCAGAACGTCTTGTATAGCTCCCCCCCCCCTCCACACACACACACACACACACACACACACACACACACACACACACACACACACGCACACACACACTTTGGATCCGTTGCATTATTTTCATTAAAAATTCATCAAATTCAAATTTGTTACTTGTAGTACTCCCTCATTGATTTTTTCCGTCTTCTCTTTGTGCCTAGTTCATGATCGTATTTTCCTCTTCCTCCTTTTCTTATATCACCACCTTCATCATTTTGCGAGAACTGTGGCAATACGCCCATTGAGAAACCAGATTTTGCCTGTGCTTCTGGTGAAGTAAAATAAAGCTAAACAAACACACACACACACACACACACACATGCACACACACACGCACACGCACACACACACACACACACACACATCTTGTTCTCACAAATCCACAAAAGGAGGGCAGAGATTTTTGCTCGTCTGATCCCAGACAATAGAACGGCTCCTATAGATTTACAAAGACTGAAGATCCACAAGTGCCAAGGTTAATATTTTTATTTGTTTTTGAAAGCTTTTTCTCTACCATCATAATTATTAGGCTTTCTATGGTTTGCTTAGCATTGCCGAATTCTGATAACGTGACATACATGACGAGGAAACGGGGATTTCCCCTTGCAGAATTCGAATTCTCTCCTCCACTGTTCTCTTCCGGTATACTGATTGATGTTTACAGGAGAGAGTCGTTCCCCAGGTTTGGGAACCGAAACAGTTTGCCGCTGCTGTTCGACGGCAACTAGAGGAAGAGGAACGAAATGATCAGGAACTGCAAGACATGCGGGTGGGCCGAGGAATACATTGCTATTTTAATATCAATTTATTCAACTGATGAATATTGATTTATAAGAAAGGCGTTTGCTCCTCACATCTGAGCTCGTGCTTTCCCACCGGCTTGACTTGACACTTGACTGTCTGACTGCAATCCAGCGCACATGAGAAGTCCATCGAACCTTCCGCTTACCAAGCCTGCAGGAAAGCACCACTCCTTGCTCAAGAGTCAAATCGGTGGGGGAAAAATGGCTGACCTCCGGTGTGGGGAGCGAACGCCGTTTCTTATGAAATCATCGGCGAAGTCGCTACCACTCTCTCGTAATATTAAATTTTAACACCAGAATTCTGATATAGCCAGAATGCACTTGTGTGAGCATGGGAATACGCGAACACATGTACATGATAGTACAGGTTGAGCACATGTTCATTTACTTCAGTATGTGCAGAGCGTCAAATGCAAATCACGCGTTGTCCATTTACGCCATCCCCTGAGGATCGCATGTGCCATTGGCCCATTGTCCCTATCCTCCAACATGGAAGATTCGGCATGCCTGCTAAGGGGTTAGCTATCACACACCGTGATTATGATCGTCTTGTACTCAGTGCGTGCGCAGGTGTGTCGGTCTTGGGGTGATGTTTATACGGTTACTCGGGGTTCAGAGGATAACCATTGATGTGTGTCGCTATCGCATTGCATGAGCAGGACTAGATGGGAATTGCTGAGATGAAGGCCTGAATGTACATGTATATGTACTTGAATACCCACCGATACCTAACCTGCCATGTATGCCGACATGGCCAGTACCATCCTCATGCCGCCAGATGAACTTAGGGGTGAAACGAGTGCAAGAATTGAGAACTCGAGTACTCTTTGAAAGAACAAGCGAGTATTCGAGCGAGTACGAGCATTTTCTGATAACATAAAACAATGTACTGCACACAGTCTCGTAACGCCGAACGTACTACTAATACGCCTAATACACAGTGGTCTTGCATACAGCCTAGTGCAGGAAATAGTCTGAACTACTGTCTTTTGCTGGTATTAAGTAGGGACAAGCAATAATTTCGCGCTTGCATAGGCTATCAGTACCGGTTAGAGTAACAGAAAGGCTTGATGTACATGTACATGCACATGCATACTATACACTGCACATAGGATGCTACGAGCATTTTGCGAAACGAGTACTCGCTCATTTCAAATTACCGAGCGCGCTCGATATACTCGTTTCACCCTTACTAATGATTGCCTGACGACTGGCTGATGATTTCGAAAGCATGACACTCAGAGTAGCGACCAACTAGCCTTGATTGCCCGTGTTGTACAGTTCCGTGTACTGTACTTGAATACGTAACGTTGGCAGGGTCGACTGCTCATCCGCATAGCATAATATGCCGTCTCTTCTAGCAAGGTGTAGGCAAGAGAAAAAATAAAGCTACTGGCTCCTGGCATAGGCAAGTTTACCTCGTGATTGTACTTGTGTTGAACCTTGTGTCCCCGACCGCGAAGCTACAAGCTTGCCTGGACAGGATCTTGCGGTATAGGGCTTGAAAGTGCTAAGTCACAGCATAGCAACAGGTTCAAAAATTCAAAAATTGGATCCACTTGGGTCCAGTTTTTGTATGGATCCAAGCACATTTCAAGCCGTCTTACTCACAGCAAGGTGATGTAACCAGTGAAACTGACTGATTTGGCTACTGGGGGAGGGGTTACAACGGGTGGGGAAGTAAAAGTCACCCCTGCATACGACATGAGTGGGTTGCTATGCACCCACATACTGAGGCAATAGCAAAGTCACACCTTAGTGGATCCAAAATAGAAATCTGATGTCAACTTTATACTCCCTGGCCGTTTTTGACGTCATCACTTTCTAGCCCTATTCGTTGAGCAAGAGAGATGGGCGCCTCAGCAGGGACACCTTTCCCGGCCTGATGACCATGCACAACTATGGTAGGCTGCGCATTGCCGTGCTGGGAAGGTCTGGAGTGGGAGGAAGTCACACAGCCAACAATATCCTTGAACTACTGGGCGAGGACCCAAAGTAAGGGGTGAGTGCAAAGTTATTGTTTTAGCGTTACTCATGCAGTTGTATGCATGTCCCTGTATGAGATATTCAAGTGTAAGGTCAACGGAGACTCGGCTAGACTTGGGATGAATATGCATGAAAAAGTAACACATTTTTGCCTGTTTTCTGAAAAAGTAACACATTTTTGCCTGTTTTCTGCCCAAATACTTATTAATTATCCTCCAAGAGCTAACTATGTGCTGGCCTATTTGTCCAATATAGGTGTACAGCGAAGGCGCGGGAAGCGCCAGAGTTCGTGATGCGCCAATCTACAATGCAGCCGGGTATAGTCCAGCCATCATGCTGCGCACTAGTCGCGGTAGTGGCGAGACGAGGGGCAGAGACAGTGAGATATGTATGATGGAAGCTGTGCTCAGCAACAAGCTGTATGCCGGTGATGAGTGCTACATGGAGTATATTCGCTACAACGACAGCAGTCCCATGGCCGACCAATGCCATGCAGCTATGTTTTTTTCATGTCTTTCCCTCCTTTCTGAGAACGTGAAACCTGGTGACTACTCCGTGCAGATGTTCTGGTCCGGATTCCGTCCTCTCTTCTCCAGATTGGGTATGTACAGGTGTATAAGACAAAGTGATGCCGTATGCCAGGCATAACCAAGGTCCACCTCTTTTTTAGCATATGTGTGTGTGTGTGTGTGCGTGTGTGTGTGTGCGCGTGCGTCTGTGTGTGCGCGTGCGTGCGTCTGTGTGTGTGTATGTGTGTGTGTGTGTGTGTGCGCGTGTGGGTGTGTGTGCGTATATGTGTGTATGTGTGTGCGTGTCTGTGCGCTCACGCGTGTGTGTGCGGGTGTGTGTGCGGGTGTGTGTGTGTGCGGGTGTGTGTGCGGGTGTGTGTGTGTGCGTGTGTGTGTGTGTGTGTGAAAATTAGGTCACTTCAGGTGCATCAACATTTTCAGCATTACTGCAAAGTGACCATGGCTGTTAGAGTGCTTGGACTTGGGAAAGTGATGTGAGAACTGGACTAAATATGCACCAATTGCCAGAAAATGTCATACTAGTAGCAGTTTGGAAAGGTGTGAGTTGCCAGTATGATGCAAGCCAGATATTGTTTGATGGAAGAAGGATAGATTTGCTGTCACAGTATCACAGTGGATAAGAGTCATACTGTAGCTCAGCGGGTTAGAGCATTGCTCGCGAATAGCAAGGTCCCTGGTTCGAGTCCCTGTGGTGGGACTGATGATTTTTTCTTTCTTTCGTATTTGGCTCGCAAGTGTTGAGTTTCGGAGAGAAAAGAGCAGTACGAGGCATGTGGCTTCTATTTCCCTAAAACACCTGAAAGGCTAAAACTGCACGAACAACTTGCACTTATCCTGTCATAGCATAGATTTTCGTTGCACAAGCTGTGCGTCATTGCGTTCACTGTCTACTGGCTGACGAAGCCTCTAGGAGACTTCGTCGATCATGCAGGCAGAGTGTGGTGTTTGTTGTATGCCTGCATTGGATCCTGGTGTTTGTTGTATGCCTGCATTGGATTCTGGTCTTTGTTGTATGCCTGCATTGGATCCTGGTGTTTGTTGTATGTCTACATTGAATCCTGGTGTTTGTTGTATGCCTGCATTGGATGTGTTTGTTGTATGCCTGCATTGGATCCTGCTGGGCGTTCTTTGCAGACATCACCCCTGTCACTTTGGTCACAAACATGAGATGTCCACAACGTGATGAACTATTTGACGGTTGGAAATGCGTCACTCATGCCACCCAATTCTTGGGATCAGCGGAGAATCAAGTATTTCCAATCGAGAACAAAGAGCCGACAGGCGATCCGGAGGCAGTGCGGAAGCGTCTTCGCCAGGAGCTGGTGCTGGCGTTGCTGGAAGTCATGTACCAGGCCGAGTACCGCCTTCATCGGCACGAGCTACGTGCCCTGCGTTACTAGATTCTACTGGAAAGGCATTGAAATCGACACAGCCATGCCTGTGCCTATGGCGGGCAATTCCAATGCACCCTCTTCCTTTTACGCTTACCAAACATGCATGAAACGTTCTCGCAAAAGTTCCGCCGGATCTATTGTCATGTACATGTCTTTGCCATCGGTTACACATCTTTTCATTTTTTCTTTTCATCTTTTTCGCTGAGTATACATCAAACATACGAGTAAATACCGTACATCTACTGCTAGCATATAATTATGATCACTTTTACACGAGAATTACGTTGAACTGCGGCTTGGATTGTCGTGCATGGTTTTCAGGAACATTATCTCTACGGGTGTATGTGTATGTGTCATGTACATTTGATACATGTAAGTCTGTGCATGGCTATAGCTGCTTGTTTCGACCTTGTTAGGACAGGTACAGTGCTGCCAAATACATGTAATTTTCGCCCACAATCTCACACCCGTGTACCACACATTTTCAGTGTCCAAAATATCGCCCAGAATACCAAGAAAATTCGCTTAGTTGCCATTGTAACCAACATTGCGCCCAGAAGTTCACAGTGAGTGCGTTCGATTACACGCGCGAATCGATTCACGAATCGATTCATGAACCTATTCCCGCTATTCACATCACCCCCTGTGAATGGGGCTTGAAAGTGCTACGTCACAGCATAGCAACAATTTCAAAAATTCAAAAACTGGATCCACTTGGATCCAGTTTTTGTATGGATCCAAGCACATTTCAAGCAGTCTTACCCACAGCATGGTGATGTAGCCAGTGAAACTGACTGATTTGGCTACTGGGGGCGGGGTTACAACTGGTGGCGAAATAAAAGTCACACCTGCTGCGACATGAGTGGGTTGCTATGCACCGGCCCACATACTTAGGCAATAGCAAAGTCACACCTTTGTGGATCCAAAAATAGAAATCTGATGTCAACTTACTACTCCCTGGCCGTTTTGACGTCATCACTTTCAAGCCCTATAGTGTGAATGGATTCCGCATCGATTCCAGGGCTCATGACATGAAAATCGAACGACTTGAATGCACTTGAATGGATTCATGAATCGATTCAAGTGTGCAATCGAACGCACTCACTGTACATCAGGTGACAGGGAGCCCTACACACACCGTGGTACAATGTATGTGTAGGGCCTCCTGATGTACATGTACATGATGTACATGCCATCCAGGAGTGTTAGTACTTTATTACTTTGCACCGGGAATTCCCCTACACATACAATGTACATGACTGTGTAAAATTTGATAATAATAATAAAATTATGTATAATTATGATGGCTCCCTGCTTTGCACTTCCCGCGGCCCAGCACTAGCCTTTTTAGAAGCACATAATGTAGAGTGATTTGTGTGTTCAGTTGTGCTCAAAATTGAAAATACGGGACTTCTGCATAGGAAAGTACTGTCCCTGACATTTTGGCCGGTTTTCGGAATAGCCTTCGAAAATCGAACGCTGCCCGAAAAAGCTTTGACAGCACTGCAGGTGTGCTCAGACTCCGTCAGAGTGACTTTACCCGTCATTAGGTTTGTCTGTTTCGATTTTGCCCTATAAATAGAGAATACAACATAGCATAACCCTACAATAATAGTCATTGCTCATTGACATTGCCACAGCCTGATCTATCGCTCCTTTATTTTAATTATTACTCAATCTGCAGACAGCATGCTGAACTCATCAGCGCAGCACAGATTATTTTGATTATTTTTTTACGAGTGCCCATGAGCTCCAATCTGGTTGGAACAAATTAGGTATTTGTCTTTTTATTGAGGAGCAAAAGGATGGTGAGACCTAGTGCACTCGGCTAAGCCAAGGTCTTGTCTCCAATCCCTTAGTGAGCTAGATGCAACATGATCACGAACCAGGGAGTCGTACTACGACTCCCTGTCACGAACCAATAATCATCGCTACTAATTGATCCTTTCTCACTCAGCACACATGCTTCTAGCGCTAGTGAGTCGCTCAGGCTGGTTCACACCGGGATATTCAATGGTGCTCTGTGGGGCAAAGCTAGTTGGCTCACTCGATGGATTTCCATTAACTGGAGTATCGGTTGACATAGAAGAATTATAAAGCTCCCTTTGAATGAGTTTGTAAAAGCATTTTGTAGAGGGATTTACGCGCGCAAAGCCCAAGTTGCGATCATGCAATTTTAGGCACCTAGTGGCCTGCTGCGTTTTCATTCGGTTTTTGGGACCCTTGCATGGAGTTCAAATAATTAGTTCATCTTTCTCTCCTCAATGATGCCTCGGTTTCCTCGCAGGCAAGTCGTATCGGTTGCAGTGAAGTCGTATCGTGGACTGCGCCGTGAAAGTGCTGCATGTGTCTGTAAGGACTCAAACTAGGCGGCATATAGAAACTTTGCTAATGCGGAAAAGGACACCGCTCATCCAGTCACGAATTCCGGGAGTCGCGCACGCCAGTCTCGAAACTACTCGTACCACTACGCTGGAAAGGCTACACATCATACACACCGAAGCCGCTGCAAGCACCGCTGGCAGACTCGGCGAAGAGGTATTCGACCCAGCCGCACGGCTAACCTTAGCCTAAATCTAGGACAAGTCCCTAGTCTAGTGTTTGATCGGTGTCTCTTTCCATAGTACAGCCAAACCGGTCGGTGTGGAGAAGCGCTTCTGATGTTGTCCGCCTCCTTTCTGCTCTCGAGTCGTTCTTTCCATCCCCATAACCAGTAGTGTGCTAGATAACTATAGGAGTCAGAAGCTTTGTAAAATGTTTCGCCGCTGGCTCAATGGAGAGAGCTTGTTCAAGGTACTTGACGAAATTTCCGCATGCGAGCGACTCTGGTTGTGTTTTTGTCTAAGGGAGAGGTTTTGGTGCGTTCGCTCTGGTTCGGATATTCCTTTTTTCAGAAGAAGCAGATCAAAGAGGAATGGCACCCCGACAAGTTCAAGGAGGCAGTCAGAGAGGTGCTAAGGAACGAAGATGATCAGGAAGACATTGAGCACACCAAGCGGGTAAGAAGTGTGATCACACCCGACATCCATTCATAACTTTCTATTGGTTTCTTTAATATTTTTATCTCTTACTCGAGACGCATGCCTTCTCCACATGAAGAGGGAACAAAATTTAATTTTAATAGTAATTCTAATAGTGACGACGACAAACAAAGGATAGAGTACTGTACGGGGCTGGATAACTTCGCCAAGTGCTGGTGAAGCATAATATTATGAACACTGTCTTGGTCGAGCTACTGACTTCATTGTTCAGCTTGCTGGGCCGTGAAAACACGAACCCTGGCGGAATTCTCAATGACCAGGTTTCGTTTGAAGACTGAACTGTTCTGGCAAAAGATGGCCACATGTACAGGAACGGATCGAATTTCATTTTTCAGCCTCTGGAAAAGAGATAGAAAGACTGTAAGCACGTTGCAAGGCGACCAAAAAAGGAAGTTTGTTGCGGTGGTGGGCTTCTGCAGTGCCCTGGCGCTATCTTTATCCATGAGGTTGAATCACTAGACACAAACTTTTTTATTACAATCAGCAAAATGTGAGAACAACAATGGATAAAGAACTCAACACATTCAAATTTAATCAGGGCTTGTTGTTATGACCGTGTGTGACTTCTACTGCCAATCATGCAAACATGCATGACTGTTGCCAGAGGCAGAGGGTTACTGCCGACCAGCCCGCAGCCTGCATTCAACTGCGAAGGGCATTCGGCTGCGGAGATAGGATGCTCGTGTGCCCCTGAAGCAAGTGGCCGCCCGTCGCATTTTAAAGCAGAATGAAATCTTGCAGCTCGGCTGATTCATCACAACGGAATAATGCAAATCAGCATTCCTCTCTGCAACAAGACTCACCAGGGTCTTCATGAACTCCGAACATTCCCTGCCAACTATCCCGGAGGTGGAGAAAACCAGGGGCGTAAATAAACCGTGGTCGATGGGTGTTACGCGTTCTCCATATTGCCTTTTCTTCTTTGTCTCATGGGTTTGGAGCTGATTGACGACTACACTGCACAGTACTTTGTGTGCTGTGAATTATTACATTACTCAGTTGGAACACATGCGCTCTGTGATCTCTCTGCTGTGAAAAAACTCCTCCATTGTGGCACCAAATGTTCGCATCTGATCCATTATCAGAGAATACTACCGTATTTTCCGGTGTATAAGCCACACTGGAGTACAAGCCACATCCACCATTTGCGTGCCACGAAATGCAGACATTTACCCTATTTAGCACAGTTGATTTGATCTGTAAGAAGAAAAGTGGACCAAAGAGCTACAAGTCATGCTATTATATCCACTAATATCACCAGTTACTTTACAATCAGCTCATGCGATAAACATTGCACGACACGACACGAATACAAATTAATCCGTTTGGATTAGGCGAAGTAAAACAAAGTTCAAAAAAAATTCCTTGGCTCTCCACCCGAGTCTAACATTGCGCACCTGTTGATTTGATCATCGCAGTATTAGCCGCATATGGCCGATTGGTTTGCAGGCCTGCCTGCGAATCATGAGGTCCCGAGATCAACACTGGCGCTGAGAGCAGGGAGCGTGTAAAAAATACTTTTTACGCGTGTTGAACTGCGCCGACACCCACGGTCAACTGGGTACTCACAGCTCCGAGTGAGAATAACAAGGATGCAGTTTCCAGGGTTATGGGCTGTTACACGCCCGATTGGCTGAGAGACTAACCTCCTCTCCCGTGACTCACTTGTGAGGTCTGCATTCGCCACTAAGGTGAGCAGGCATAGTGGTGGCCTGCGGATGCGAAGGCTAGTTTGTGTGTTTCTGAACATTCAAGCGATGCCGACGCGGATCCCGCGAATATTATTAGTATAAGGTGCAACCCCCCGTTTTTAAAATTGAAATTTGAGCGTTCAAAGTGCGGCTTACACTCCGTAAATCGCAGTAAAAAAACAACATTCTTGCTCTTGCTGTGTGTGTGTGTGTTTCTATTGCTGTCTGTCCATCTGTCTCTCTCTCTCTCTCTCTCTCTCTCTCTCTCTCTCTCTCTCTCTCTCTCTCTCTCTCTCTCTCTCTCTCTCTCGCTCTCTCTCTCTCTCTCTCTCTCTCTCTCTCTGTGTCTTTCTCTCTGTCTCTTCGCCTGTCTGTCTGTCTGTCTCTCTCTATCTATCTATCTCTCTATCTCTCTCACTCTCACTCTCTGTCCTTTTAATTCTCTTGTCGTGCTGTCTCTCTCTACTTTGTTTCTCCCTCGATACAGCTTCAGGCCTGCATGGACCGTGTCAAGCAGTACTCGTTGACAGAGGGCAGCAAGCGTCTCACCAGGGACACATTTCCCGGCCTGATGACTATGCAGGATTACGGTCCCCTGCGCATCGCGTTCATGGGTCGCACCGCCACGGGCAAGAGTCACACTGCAAATAGCATACTGCGGCTGTTTGATCAGGCAGCCACTGAAGAGGTCAGCTTCTCGTAGAGACTAGCCATTTGTATTGTGCTTCTGCTATCACATCCCTTCTGCAACTAGTAACTACAGTTTTGGCGAGTGCCGAAGAACTGGTGATCAGCCTCCTAACGAGGCTGTCTCTATTGTCATATACTGTAGTATATGTTACGGTCTATGCACAGTCACTGTGTACACAATGGTATGCTGTGCTTGGTGAAATCCTAGCCTGTTCGTTCTTCGGTACCCCCTCTTTGGTACCCCCTTCTCGGTACCCCCTTCTTTGGTACCCCCTTCTTTGGTACCCCCTTCTTCGGCATGCAACAGTACTTACTGTACAGAAGTCACTGGGCACAGTCAGCTTATTTTGCCCTGTATTCCATATGAGGAGGCAGTGAAAATACTAGCGGAAACACTTTGAAAAATAATGGTGATCGTGGGGAGCCTGATTTTTTTTGGAACCGGCCTCTTGTACGGGCAGAAGTAACACAAGCATACAATAAAATATGGACCATTCCAGAAAAGCAATGATGACGAGGCATAAACAAGACAGCGCAGCATAAAGGTAATGGGGAGCCTGATCCTACTTTATTTCTCGAGCGTGACCACATTTTTTTTGTATCGAAGAAAAAGACAAGAAGTGCTAATAGTATACCATAATGCAAAATCAAAAGTGACGCACACAAAGCGTTCCAAAAACTGACATGTGTGGAGCAGTCATCATACCACCAGTCACAGCAACCGTCCAGGTTATAGTGTATATCGATGGCACTCCGAGTTTCTTGCCTACGCAAACAGACCATACTATAATAAGGGCACTCTGTGCTCAACTGTTTTGCCGTAAATGTACTACCGTATTTCCTAGGTTATAAGTTACACTCGATTATAATGTCAAACCCACTTTTCAGATTTGACCCATATTGTTTCAATTTATTCACCTGAGCAGGATGTTACACTCCACTGTCAGCCCCAGCCCCTTCTTTAACCTTGAAGTCGCACATGAAAATGGGCAATTCGTACCCTAAGAAATTGGTTATCCAGAAACACGGAGAAAAACCTCTTCGTCAGGACTTGAAGCTTTATGGTGTGTGTCTCTGCATTATGCTTTATATTCTGAATGTTGGCCACCCTGTGTTCTGGTCATTTCATGCATGCAGGTGTATTCAGACGGGGAAGGAGACGCAAGGGTCCGGGAAACAGTGTTCACAACTGACTCCGGTGGGGAGATCATTCTACGCAACAGTCGAGGTAGTGGGGAGGAGAATGGTGGACGCGACTCGGAGGTGCTCGTCTTGGAGGCCATTCTCACCAACAAGCTTCACGCTGGCGACGAGTGCTACAAGGAGAAAATTCGCCACAACGACAACAGTCCCATGCCTGATCAATGCCACGGCGTGATTTTCATCATCACTCAACAATGGATAGACGAGGACCGGCCGATCAAGCCCGGTGACCGCACAGAGAAATCATTTTGGAATGGCTTCCAGCCACTTCTCAAGCAACTGGGTATGTGCTGTGTAGGAATTGTGAAGAACATATTGAACGGTCACTGATTGAATATGACTGCGCCATAGCTTAGTGGTAGAGCGGCATTGGCCATAAACGAGTCCCCGGTTCCCATCCTGGTGGTCTAAGTCAATGTTTTCTTCAGACGTTTCCAGTTTGCATCTTTCCCTCAAACCAACGAATGTAGCAGCCGTGTTCTAGTATAGCGCAAGCACAATGCTCACTTATAGACGTTGCGTGGAAACAATTCAAGGTTCGCGTGAGACACATCCAGACTGAGTTCTCCACATCCATAGTGTGTAGGTTGTGTGAAAGACATCAACATGATCTGTATGATTACCGGTATGTTTAACACTGCTGCTCGTTTTCTTTTCTACCGTATACACAAAGAAAAGGCCAAAATTAGGGAGTTGTTGGCAGTGGCAAACGTGCACTTGTATTCCACAGATACCATCCCAATGATGCGGAACTGCACGATCTCTATTTAGAACATAGGTGGATGGTAGACTCAATGTATGCTTTGGAGCTGCCTCTGAAAACAGTCATATTCAGCAGAGGTGCAACGGGGGGGGGGGGGGGGGGGAGGGGGTGTACCCTCACTTGCCTTGACTCTACTGGTTTGTGAGGTGGGACGGTCAGTTGCTGTTTCCTTTTTTGTCATCAAAACAATTTGAGAGGCGGATTTTGCTAGCAATGGTTTAATATGTACGATTCTGTAGCAAACGCGGTGCAGAGAAATTTTTGCCAGTATACACATAAACAAACACACATATACGCACACATAAACACACACGAACACACACACACACATGCATTCACACACACACACGCAGTGCATGCACACACACGCACGCACAGATCAAAATGGTCTTTTCCTTGGTGTCATCAATGGCCAGTGGTAAAAGATTTTACAACTTGTTTTCGGCTATACATTTTCTCGACAATTTTGCTTCTCCCTGTTTCCAGATCTTTGTCCGGTCACCTGCGTGACGCACATGCGAGAGATAGTTCCGCCGTATGGCTTGCAGGACGGCTGGGAGAAAGTTGCTCATGCAGCACAGATGGTCGGTTCATCCCAAAACAGCGTGTTCCCCATCGAGAACAAGCAGCCAAAGACAGACAGGGCGGCAGTGATAAAGCGCCTTCGCCAGGAGCTGCTCCTTGCACTGTTGGAGGTTATTTACCAGGCTGAGCAGCGGCTGCACCGAATCGAGTTAAGGACACTGAGGGAGACGGATCGCAGCGCATATGTCAAAACACAACGTGAGTCCTACCTGCCTTCTCATCTGAAGATCGTTTTGCTGCGTTATCTTCTAATGGTCTACCTTACTGATAAGTTGTAGCGATTTTGGCGTTGATTTTTTTTCTGAAAGGCTGTGCTCGGCACACTGGACCTCGCGCTTTCCCCGAAACACTGTGTATGGAGCAGGTAGTAGAGTTTTTCTTGCAGGTTTGCAGAGTCGAAGGTTCGATGGACATCTCGTGTGCTCTGGATGGCCGTCTTGAGTCAGTCAAGTGTCAAGTCAAGTGGGTGGAATAGCCCGAGCACCAGTGTGGGAAGCGTACCCGTTCCAACCTACTAGACAAAAAAAAACACTACAGCAAAGCCTGTCAAGGCGACCACTCGGATAAGGCGACCACCTGTCCCAGAAGACCACTGCCGCCAGGACCAAGGGATGCTATTTCCAGAGGTCGCTTACACCAGGTTTAACTGCAATTTACTTTTTACTGTTGCACATGAATAATGTGTGTATAGCGATGATTTTATGCCCTAAAGTTGCCGTACTCGCATGATTAGTGCCCCCGAGGCACTCTTTTTGCGATGTCCATCACAGATGGGGCAGTATTCAAGAGAGGGCACTATTTTTTCATTGCTGGTACATTTGCGTCATCCAGCATAAGACAAAGAAAAACAGAGCCTAAAGTGTACTGTAAACGCTCACGAATCCACAGAAACAGGAAAAAGACCTGCGATTTTGTTCCTGAAAACACCAGTGCAAAGCAATGGCCAAGAACATTAGGGAAAGAACACCAAACTTGCACATGGGCTTGGTTACAAAACCGGGGGGGGGGGGCACTATTCAAAAGAGGGCTTTATTCTTCACTGGCTCTTGGAGACTAGGGCACTATTCGAGATAGGGCACTATACAAGAGAGGGCACTATTCAAGAGAGGGCACTATTCAAGAGAGGGCACTATTCAGGAGAGGGCACTATTCAAGAGAGGGCTGTATTCAAGAGAGGGCTCTATTCAAGAGAGGGCACTATTCAAGAGAGGGCTCTATTCAAGAGAGGGCACTATTCAGGAGAGGGCACTATTCAAGAGAGGGCTCTATTCAAGAGAGGGCTCTATTCAAGAGAGGGCTCTATTCAAGAGAGGGCACTATTCAGGAGAGGGCACTATTCAAGAGAGGGCACTATTCAAGAGAGGGCTCTATTCAAGAGAGGGCACGATTCAAGAGAGGGCACTATTCAAGAGAGGGCACTATTCAGGAGAGGGCACTATTCAAGAGAGGGCTCTATTCAAGAGAGGGCACTATTCAGGAGAGGGCACTATTCAAGGGAGGGCTCTATTCAAGAGAGGGCTCTATTCAAGAGAGGGCTCTATTCAAGAGAGGGCACTATTCAGGAGAGGGCACTATTCAAGAGAGGGCACTATTCAAGAGAGGGCTCTATTCAAGAGAGGGCACTATTCAAGAGAGGGCACTATTCAAGAGAGGGCACTATTCAGGAGAGGGCACTATTCAAGAGAGGGCTCTATTCAAGAGAGGGCACTATTCAAGAGAGGGCACTATTCAAGAGAGGGCTCTATTCAAGAGAGGGCACTATTCAAGAGAGGGCACTATTCAAGAGAGGGCACTATTCAGGAGAGGGCACTATTCAAGAGAGGGCTCTATTCAAGAGAGGGCTCTATTCAAGAGAGGGCTCTATTCAAGAGAGGGCTCTATTCAAGAGAGGGCTCTATTCAAGAGAGGGCACTATTCAAGAGAGGGCTCTATTCAAGAGAGGGCACTATTCAAGAGAGGGCTCTATTCAAGAGAGGGCACTATTCAAGAGAGGGCACTATTCAAGAGAGGGCACTATTCAAGAGAGGGCTCTAATCGCGCGAGTACGACAACAGTTATAGTCAACTTGGCTTATAACGACACTCGGCGGCGGGGCATCAACAAGGTGTCCTTATTCGCGAAGTGTCCTTATACCCGAAGTCTCTATATATGTATTACAGTGGGATGGGACTTTGCTCTGGGCATGGAAATTCTGTCGTTATTCGCGAATTGTCGTTATATCCGCAGTCGTTATTCGCGAGTTGTCGTTATATCCGTAGTCGTTATTGGCGAATTGTCTTTATATCCGTAGTCGTTATTAGCGAATTGTCGTTATAGCCGCAGTCGTTATTAGCAAATTGCCGTTATATCCACAGTCGTTATTAGCGAATTGTCGTTATATCCGCAGTCGGTATTAGCGAAGTTGACTATACAACAACTTTGTTGGCCATTGTCTCATGTCCAGTGGAATTTTCTCCTCTGTGTTGGCTGCCTTTGTTCCTTCTACCCTTACTAGCCAAGTACGCCGTGGCCCGGTTCATTCGCAGCACAGCTGAAACGTACGCTTGGCCATCGCATCGTGTGGCGACGATCGAGAATGCGCTCCATGACCAATGGTTGGCCCTGGGGCTGGCGCGAGATGAGGACTACTTGACTCCGGAGCACTTCATTCGTATGATGTCGATGGCGGCCGTGTGCCAGAAGGTGTTCAGGTCAAAGCCTCAGCAAAAGCAGATTGCCGCCGAGTTGGACAGCTTCCGACGTTGCTGGAGGGTGTGATGACGGCTAGTTGGCGACGGTGTGCGCGCGGGATTCATTTCACGTCACACCGCGCTGGTATGGCACTCATTGCGTGATCCGCTCGCGCCGTGCCCACTGCCCAGACTTGAACACGCTAGGATTTAATGCTGATTACGAGTTCATATCTACTAGTACGCTTCTACTGCTTTTCCTATGCCATATACGGGCAAGTGTAATGTGTGTGCATGGTGCCCGATCTATGTTTTCTGCCGATGCCCCTGTCGCGTCATCTGCAGCCGTAGTCGCTGTGGAGGCATCCATTGTGGCTGACTGAATATTGTAGGAGTATTTGAATGCTGTTTGATTGCTCACCATGTCCCGGTTTTTCTTTTGTTTCCCCGGGCCTTTTTTTGAAGGTCTTTGGAGCAGCTGGCTCAGTTTCTGCTTTTTTGGTTTATTTTGCCCAAAAAAAGGCCATTAATTTCACTTTATAGTGGAGAAAACCAAAACAGGTGGATGCCTAATAACAATGGACCCACTGTTGAGGGTTCATGTTTGAAATTACGATTGTCTTTGTTTTCTCGATTAATGCTTTGGATTTCTTTTCTTCATTGCTTTGCTTGCCATTGTGTTCTTTCCCATAAAGGCGTTGTAGACGATGTTGTCATTTTACGCCTGCCTGCCGTCTTATGATAACCAGTTGGCTAGGGTTCACGTACACATGGGCCCTCAGACTGATAATCATCATCAACCTACGCATACTGTTACCACGGCTGCATCCTTCCCTGGGAAGGTTCGAAACTTCCAAATGCCCATACTACACTCACTGCACTACACTCTTTGTGTGCTCTACACTCTTTCAGTGTCGAAAACACGCAAGTACTTCTACATTATACATCCTCACATTTAGTGTTGTCTCACTGTAAAGACAGTTAGTTGTGTTGGCTAGTGCATGCACAAGTAGGACTACAGTGAAAACTGTCTAAGGCGACTGCTCAAGGGACCATCAACGTGTGGTCTCTGTAACCAGGTTGACTCGCTGCACCAGTCACACACTCCATAACAGCTAGAAGTTGCTCCTGACAAGCTTTGTTTCGTTCCATTATGATATTTAACGGACCTACTGAAGATGGCATCAACAAAATGACTGGCAGTCATGTCGCTATGGAAGGAACTGGTGATGCTTGGCGTCCCGGAGAATCTAATGTACACTGCACGTGTACGCACACATACATGTACAGTGAGCAAGATTGCTCTTGAAGAGCCGAGCAGCAGATACCAGAGAAGCAATTTTTGCCATAAACATGGTCAAATGCCATCCCTGACTCAATAACGGAAACAATGTCGATGAAATCTGCACATAACTATGATGTTGCTACGCAGTTTCTATGGTAACCGAGTGCAATATAAAGACACGCCTTTTCAATACCTTGCAGGCTTCAACCGCTTGCGTCCTGATATGAAAATATCAAATTAACTTTTTATGATCTACTATGTGTCCTCGACACCGAACACGTTTGATGTGAGTTTAGGTTGCGCGGAAGAGGTAGGAGCAACGCTGCACCTTTCGGTCATGTGGCTCGCGGACTATGACCATGCCTGCGGCGAGAGCGTTCTCCACAAGCAAATACAAAGCCCGTGTTCTAGTTACAAGTGCATTTTACATGTAAAACGAATGCATTTTATCAGTTTCCGATTTCATGTACATGTGGATCTACAATTGTACATTCGTCTGTACCGGTAAGGGTGCTGAGCAGCCATTGTTATGATGAAAGTTGGCCAAGGCGGAAAAGAGTGCGCTTCGTGCAAGTAAAATGAATGCATTTTTATCAGTTTCCGATTACAATAGATCTGCAATTGTACATTCGCCTGTACTGTACCCGTAAGGGTGCTGTGCAGACATTGTTATGATTTCCCACCTTCCAAATCGGCAAATATTTAGATTTTGATAAAAACGATTCAAAGCCTGTCAATTATTTTGTAATACTTAAAGTATAAATATAAAAATAAGTATTTGTTATCGCATGGTTGCTGCGGGCCTTATGCCATATTATTGGCAACGAGAGGTTAGCCCGAGGGCCGTAGATATATTATTGCCCCGAGAGGTTAGCCCGAGGGCCGTAGATATATTATTGCCAACGAGAGGTTAGCCCGAGGGCCGTAGATATATTATTGCCCCGAAAGGTTAGCCCGAGGGCCGTAGATATTATTATTGCCCCGAGAGGTTAGCCCAAGGGCCGTAGATATATTATTGCCAACGAGAGGTTAGCCCGAGGGCCGTAGATATTATTGCCCCGAGAGGTTAGCCCGAGGGCTAACTTCGAGGGGCACTACCCAATATGTCATAAGGCCCGCAGCAACCATGCGATAACACATTTTACACATGGCCCACAGAGCAGATCATTGGGCCACTGTTGAAACTAGCCTAAATGCCAACACATTATGACCACAATGTATATTATTGTGCTATCATTATCAAAACAGGAAAAATGAAGATATCTCTCCTACACCCTAACAAAAAGTCTGCTACAGGCCATCAGAGAGTATACAGTACTGAAAGATGGAGACAGAAAAAAAGTGCCGGCACGACATTGTCGTAGCAATAGACATGGCAACCACAATAAAACACAGCAGAATCATGATTTCAGTTGAAAAATTAAGAGTGCTACCACAAAGAGTTTCTACATGTTTACATGTGTATCAGGAAGTTGTCAAATACAGTACTGCAAGTATTTGACGACTCCCTGGTGTGTAATTGCGAGGATAATTTTTCTTCTTCTTTCCAGCTAAAAATAGCTGTAGTTTTCATTGCAAAACATTCCTGAATTGTTGTGTTTGTTGTTCAAGCAAATGTGAAGCCAGAGGACAGATGAGCTTGGTAAGAGTTTCGCGTGGCACAGGAAGACCACACAGAGGCAGTGACTTTGCGAGGATCTGAAAAGGCACGATGCTGAGTTGAATTTGCTATTTCAAATAATTGTTTGTGATCACAGTACCACATCGAACAGAACTGAATCCTATCCACAAGCTTACCGACGGTCAGGCTGCCAACATGACTGAACAAAATTAATGATCTGCAAGCACCACACGGCAAAGGTCGAAGACCATGTCCATTGCCGGGACGTCCATTTCCAAAAAGCATCTTCGTCTCGATGCTGCACACTGCATGCGACTCGTCGTAGAGTCGTGGATCTACAGTGCACAGAGTCGTATACGCGTAGTCACGCGATCACTGAAATAAACTATTTTTGGGGGCAATATCACAACAGAACAACAAGGACAATCAAGGCTTGTTTGCTGCTACTTTAAGTTTCATGCTTACGCAATCATCAGGCAACAACGTTGCCTGATGATTGCGTAAGCATGAAACTTAAAGTAGCAGCAAACAAGCCTTGATTGTCCTTGTTGTTCTGTTGTGTATTACGCTCTGCCTTTGTGGTGTTGAGCACTGTCAAGCACTCTGGGTACATCCTTCGGTGGGGGCAATATCATATAATATTATTGGCCGCGGCGGGAAAGGTGCTGATTCGCTGGAGTATGGGCAACAATCACGTGCCATGTGATAATATTATATTATAACTATACTTTCACAAAAAACAAGCTCGGTGCAGCACTAATCACGGCTGGGGAACCCTACCCTCCACCATCGCCAACTCACAAAGCATGTGAACTGGGCGGTGACGGGCCGACCGAGCACCCCTGAGTCCTGACACACAATACAGCGGAATGTAGCAGCGCGAAAGACACCCGACAGCGATAGTATCCCATCAACGACGAATAGGTACCTCCGGAAGATTGACATGTTAGCAAGCTAAGGCGCCTGTTGAAGGCCGTCGATGCCGGCGCAGCTGCCAGCTGCCCCATTCACGGGAACCACTAAAGGTGCAAAGGCACCACGCTCAACATTCACTACTCTCTCCTGATATTGAAGTTTCTTAGCGCCTTCATGTTGCCGGAAGAGCGCGTCCAGGCTTCTGGACGCATAGGAAGAAGCGTCTTACATCAAAAATGCATGTTGCTCACGCGTCCAGAAACCTCCAGCGCTCCCATCAAGGTGAGCCTCGACAGCGGTGTTCGCCGACTTGGCCTGAAAAACCTCACCCTCGACAGGGGCGAGAGGTGGCTCTACAGACACACTGGAGCAAACCTCGGTCAAGGCAACAGCGAACAGATCTCGTAGTTCATTATGTCGAATAGTTGGGAATCCCCCAAAAGCACAATTCAAAGCATGGCTAGTTAAAAACCCGCCCTACAAGCACATACAGCGGGAGTGTCACGCCGCGGCCAGTCACAGCGTAACGCAATGGTATGGCGAAAGTCTCCCTTGGATAATTCAAAACCATGCTCAGCGATAAGGAGCGCCGACAGCCATGATGAAACACCTGGGCGGCCCAGTTCTTCCACGCGACGATTAACTGCCAAAGACAGGTGCGATTGAAGAGCACGCAAGCGCTCTGCCTGTCGCTCACCTCGCCACTTTACGACCCCCCCCCCCCCTTGGCGCAAGCTACGGCGGATAAGACTCTAGCAACCTCATACGGACCATTTGGGAACTCCTGCCTCCGAATGAGTGTCGTGAGGCCCTGGGCAATTCGGCCAGAAGCCTCCAACTGCCATCCAACTGATGGTGAGACTTTGTGCTTGTAGTGCGCTCGGCCAAGCCGAGATCTCGCCTCCAATCCCTTGTAGTGAGTAGATGCAACATGATCATAAACGTTCGAACCAATATCACTACTTGATCCTTTCTCGTCCAGCACGCACGCTTCTAGTGTTAGTGTAGTGAGTTGACCAGGCTGGTTCACATCCTGATATTCAATGGTGCTCTTGGGGGCTCACTCGATGGAATTCCATTAATTGGAGGATCGGTTTACATAGAATTCTGGAGGAAAAGCAAAACTGCGTTTTTGTATGTTTTGATGTCGTGGAGTTCTACCCGTCTATCTCGGAAGAACTATTATTAACGTCGTTGGAGTTTGCCAGAGGCTTCACGTCGGTGTCTTCGGAGGACCAGGAAGCTATCCTCCATGCACGGAAATCCCTGCTATTCGGCCTCGGGAAAGAGTGGTTGAAGAAGGGAAGCGGAGTATTCGATGTGACGATGGGATGCAATGACGGTGCTGAAGTCTGTGAGTTGGTCGGCACGCTGGCCCTGGCCAAACTATCCGAGGTGTACAACGGCAGTGACATTGGACTCTACCGCGACGATGGGCTGGCAGTGTTCCGGAACGTATCGGGACCGGAAGTGGACAGGATCAGAAAGGACATGACCAAAGTTTTCAACAGCCTAGGACTAAAAATTACCATCCAGGCAAACCTGAAATCAGTCGACTTCCTAGACATCACGCTGGACCTACGCACTGGCAAATACCGTCCATATCGGAAACCCAACGACCGGCCACTGTATGTCCATCACAAATCCAACCACCCACCAATCATCATCCAGAACTTGCCCTCTTCCATCAGCCGACGACTAACGGACATATCAACGGATGAGGAGACATTCCAGGACGCATCTCAAATGTACAACAATGCGCTCAGAGACAGCGGGTACAATGAGACCGTCCAGTTCTTGGAGGAACGGAAGAGTGGGAAAAGGAAGAGACAAAGGAAGAGACACCGGAATATCACATGGTTTAACCCACCGTTCAGTAAGAATGTGTCCACGAACATTGGTCAGCGATTCCTGCAACTCGTCAGCAAGCACTTCCACAAGGGTTGCAAATTATACAAGATATTTAACCGGAACACGCTAAAGTTCAGTTACAGTTGCATGCCAAATGTCGCCACCATCATCAAGCAACACAACAATAGTATCCTCCGCAGCGACCACCAGAATAAGACCAAGGATGTGAGAACCTGCAACTGCCGTGTCAAAAATGATTGCCCCTTGGAAGGAAACTGTCTAGCATCGAGCATTGTGTACAGGGCACATGTAACCGGCAGCGACATGAAGGAGTACACTGGATTAACGGAAGGGACATTCAAGACACGATTCAATGGTCATCAACATACTATTCGCCACAAAAAGCACGAGACCTCAACGACACTGTCCAGACACATCTGGAGACTGAAGGATGAAAACAAACCTTACAGTATCAGGTGGTCCGTTGTGAGGAGAGCCGCACCATACTCTAACATCTCGAAGCGCTGCAACCTGTGTCTGGCCGAGAAGCTGGAGATTGCCTGGGCCGACAAGACCCGCTCCCTCAACAAGAGGTCAGAGCTTGTGTCCAAGTGCCGTCATGAAAACAAGTTCTACCTCTGTAACTTTGCGCGCAAGGTCAAGTGAATCTAGCTGGTAGTCCCGCTGCCAAGTGTGTGTGTGTGTGTGTGTTTGTGTGTGTGTGTGTGTGTGAGTGTGTGTGAGTGTGAGCGCGCATGTGTGTGTGTGTGTGTGTGTGTGTGTGTTTGTGTGCATTCGTGAGAAAGAGAGTGCGTGTGGGTGATTGGATAAGTGCGGGTGCAAGTATGTGTGCGGTAGGTGTGAGAATGAAAGGATGAGTATTGTGGCCGTGTGTGTGTGTGTGTGTGTGTGTGTGTGTGTGAGAGAGAGAGAGAGAGAGAGAGAGAGAGAGAAACAGAATGTTTGTGTGAGATTTGGAGAATGTGTGTGTGTATGTAAGATTTAGAGAATGTGTGTGTGAGATTAGGAGAATGCGTGTGTGTGTGTGTGTGATATAGAGAATGAATGTGTGTGTGCGTGTGCATGTGTGAGATATAGAGAATGAATGTGTGTGTGTCTGTGTGTGTGTGAGAGAGAGAGAGAGAGAGATTTAGAGCATGTGTGTGCGGACGCGCGTGTGAGTGTATGTGTATGTGAGAAAAGGGAGAGAGTGTGGGTGTATGTTTGTGTTGTGGTGTGGGCATGTGTGGATTTGGCATTTGCCCCCAGCTCTATTCTATATCATTCATGCCGGAACTACTGCTGCATAGCCCCAAGTCTGAAGACTTGGCAACTTCACGCCTGCACCTGACTCTTGTGCTATGATACGCGTCGCCTATGACACCCCTCGGAATTTCCCACCTTGCTCCCCCTTATGTTCTGGCTGCCCGTTTTGGATCCATCAGTTGCCTGATGATCGTAGAGATACGTGAAACTCGGAGTTGTGACAAAGCTTCCAAACTCTCTCTTGTGTACAAGGCTCTGCCCTACATGGGCATTGAGCACTCTTCGGACAGTGAAGCACACCACTTGACTAGAATTCTTATTACAAATGAGAGTCCTCCGGCTCGGTAGAGTGCTCAATATTCGTTGCGAACGGTTCGAATAGAGCTACCTTACACACGGCACACGGCACAGAGCACAGAGCACCATGCATCGTTCACTGTAACTAATAGCTTCATGCCCATAGGCAATCATCAGTAACTGATTGATGATTGGTGCTCCGTGCCGTGTGTGGGTAGAATCAGTATTATAAAGTTCCCTTTGAATGAGTTTGTAAAAGCATTTTGTAGAGGACTTTACGCGCGAACGCCCAAGTTACGATAATGCAATTTTAGGCATCTAGTGGTCCGCTGCGTTTTCATTCGGTTTTTTGGACCCTTGGATGGAGTTCAAGTTCATCTCTTTCTCCTCAATAATGCCTCGGTTTCCTCCCAGGCAAGTCATATCGGTTGCAGTGAAGTCGTATCGTGGACTGCACCGTGAAAGTGCTGCATGTGTCTGTAAGGACTCAATCTAAACGGCATATAGAAACTTTGCTAATGCGGAAAAGGGCACGGCTCATCCAGTCACGGATTCCGGGTGTCTCGCACACCAGTCTCGAAACTACTCGAACGCTAGAAAGGCTACACATCATGATACATACCGAAGCCGCTGCAAGCACCGCTGGCAGACTCTGCCAAGAGGTATTGGACCCAGCGCCACGGCGAACTTTAGCCTAAATCTAGGGAAAGTCCCTAGTCTAGTGTTTGATGGGTGTCTCTTTCCATAGTACAGCCAAACCGGTCGGTGTGGAGAAGGGCTTCTGATGTTGTCCGCCTCCTTTCTACTCTGGAGTCGTTCTTTCCACCCCCATAACCAGCCGTGTCCTAGATAACAATAGGAGTCAGGAGCTTTGTAAGATGTATGCATGGTTTATCCGCTGGATCTATGGAGAGAGTCTGTTCAAGGTACTTGACGGCATTTCCGCGTGCGACTCGGACTTTGGTTGTGTTTTTGTGTAAGGGAGAGGTTTTGGTGCGTTCGCTCTGGTTCGGATATTTGTTTTTCAGGAGAAGCAGATCAAAGAGGAATTGCACTCCGACACGTTCAGGGCGGCAGTCAGAGAGGTGCTAAGGACCGAAGATGAGCAGGAAGACATTGAGCACACCAAGCGAGTAAGAAGTGTGATCACACCCGACATCCAATCATAACTTTCTATTGGGTTTTTTTAAATTTCTTACTCGAGACGCATGCCTACCCCACGGGAAGAGGGAACAAGTAGTAATACTAATAGTGGCGACAAACAAAGGAATTTGCCAAGCTTTTCATTTTGTGCTTTTGTGTACGCCGCTCGGCCTGAATCTGGTATTGTCTATAGAGCACTTTCGCAGAACCTAAGCCTATTGCCTCTGTGACAAACAAAGGGTAGAGTATGGTGCTGGATAACTCCGCCAAGTGCTGCTGTAGCATAATAATAATATTTCAATATTATCACTTGTGTGAACACTTGGTAGAGCTGTTGATTTCGTTTTTCAGCTTGTAAATGTCGAGCAGTGAAAACACAAACCGTAATGATCAGGTTTCGTTTGAAAACGTTCTGGCAAGAGAAGGCCACATAGATAGGAATGGATCGAATTTCATTTTTCAGCCTCTAGAAAATAGGTAGAAAGACTGTGAACACGTTTCAAGGCAACCAAAAAAGGAAGCTGGTTGCGGCGCTGGGCTTGAGCAGTGCCCTGGCGCTATCGTTATCCTTGAGGTTGAAGTACTCGACGCCAAGTTTCTATTACAATCAAACAAATGTGAGAACAACAATGGACAAAGAACTCAACACGTTCAAAAGTAACCACGGCTTGTTGTTATGACAATGAGTGACTACTACATGTACTGGCAATCATGTAAACGTACATGTCTGTTACCATGGTTATCAGAGGCAGGGAGTTACTGCCGACCATCCCGCAGCTTGCATTCAACTGCGAAGAGCATTCGGCTGCGGAGATAGGATGCTCGAGTGCACCTGAAGCAAGTGGCCGCCCATCGCATTTTAAAGCAGAATAAAATCTTGCCGCGCATGTGATTCATCACAACTGAATAATGCAAATCAGCATTCCTCTCCACAACAAGACTCACCAGGGTCTTCCTGAACTGCGAACATTCCCTGCCAACTATCCCGGAGGTTGAAAAAACCAGGGTCGTACATGAACCGTGGTCGACGGGTGTTACGCGCTCTCCATATTGCCTTTCCTTCATTGTCTCATGGGTTTGGAGCTGATTGACGACTACACTGCACAGTTCTTCGTGTGCTGTGAATTATTACATTACTAAGTCGGAACACATGCGCTCTGTGATCTCTCTGCTGTGAAAACACTCCTCCATTGTGGCACCAAATGTTCGCATCTGATCCATTATCAGAGAATGCTACCGTATTTTCCGGCTTATAAGCCACACTGGAGTACAAGCCACATCCACCATTTGTGTGCCACGAAATGCAGACATCTACCCTATTTAGCACAGCTGATTTGATCTATAAGAAGAAAAGTGGAGAAAGAGCTACAAGTCATGCTATAATATCCATTAATAGAGAGGTTTGGCACAACGAAATTCGTTGTTCATTTTCGTTGTGCCGCCGTACGAATAAGCCAACCGAATTTCGCTGAATTTTTGTTTAGCAGAACGTTCGCAACGAACTTCGGTGTTGCTACTGGATACCATGGACGTCGCGGAAATGCACGCGAAATACAAAATGGTAATCCTCGTCACTCCCCGCCTTTCGTAAACTGGTGGCCTCACTACTCGAATGCTTCTTGAGCGGGAGATGAAGCCGATCCACATGCCTTTTTTTTCTTTTTCAGCCCAGCAATCTCCTATCGCTCTGGAAAAACAGCAGAGCTGCTTCTTCATTCGTGCGTGGTTTCCGCAAGAAACAATTCGGCATCGACCTCACAAGGCGTAGCATCATGAGATCCATCTGCGTATCCCACGTAAGTTGTCGTCCCTCCTGATTACCAGAGGCAACAGCAGCAGCAGAAACTGCAGGATTTGAGTTCGGCTCAGACATTCTGGTCGTGAAAACAAGGACCTCAGAAAAATGTCAAAAGGAACAAAAAATTCTCATGTGATCGCGGAACGAAAAGTCGACAGACCAAACTTCGTTGGATTGATGCTTTCCGCGAGTGTGTGTTCGGAAGTTCGTTGTAAGTTTCGTTACTCGTTACCGGGCTTCAAAATCTAACGAAAGCTCAGACGAATTTCGTTATGCTAAACCTCTCTAATATCACCAGTTACTTTGTAATCAGCTCATGCGATAACATTGCACGACACGACACGAATACAAATTAATCCGTGGCTCTCCACCCGAGTCTAACATTGTGTTGAACGCGAATTGGGGCAACGGACAACGGGAACAAGTAGGTTGGTAACGACATTTATTAGAAACGGGACAAGAGACCAAGACAAACGAAACGACTACATGGTGCATATTGAAGAGCTCGACTCAAGAGAGCGATTATTTGAAGAGACTTGAGAGAGAAATTTGAAGAGAGGCAACACAATATATAGGGCCTGGGTAGCTATGGCAAACATGGACGCGCAAGTAGCTACCCAGGCCAAATGCATAATGCATGAACCCCTCCATGAAAAAAGAATCCCGCGTCCTCGCGGAGAGAAAAAAATGAAAGAAAGAAAAAAGAGAGAAAAGACAAAAATGGCTGAGGGAGAAAAAAAACACACACAAACATATTGCACGTGCGCACGGATCTCACAAAAAGTGTTTATTAGTATCATGCATTACAGTTATTGTTCCTGTACTTCTCTAAGTCTAAAGATAAGAAACTAGATGTGACGAGGAACCTACTGATACTGTCTGCGTGGCTAAAAATGGCATAGTTACACTTCTGCTAAACATCAAAAATTAGAGCGTGGCTCACCAGGACCGGACCTCTAACTTGGTACTATTTTATGAACACATGCGCGCACACACACTACAAAAATTCACGAAATAAATAAACCGAAAATAAATTTGACGAAGAAAGAGAGAAAGGTAGCTGACCTGCATGATGAGACGAGGTGGACATAGGCGAGACGAGGTTGACAGAGACGAGACGAGGTTGGAGTAGAAGAGACGAGGTTCGCGTAGGAGAGACGAGGTTGACATGGACGAGACAAGGTTGGCGTAGGAGAGACGAGGTTGACATGGACGAGACGAATGCCACGAGAATCCCAGGGTCGCGGGCTTCGGCAAAAGCCGGGCGCCAATGTTGAACGCGAATTAGGGCAACGGACAACGGAAACAAGTAGGTTGGTAACGATATTTATTAGAAACGGGACAAGAGACCAAGATGAACGAAACGACTACATTGTGCTTATTGAGGAGCTCGACTCAGGAGAGCGATTATTTGAAGAGACTTGAGAGAGATTTGAAGAGAGGCAACGCAATATATAGGGCCGGGGTAGCTATGGCAAACATGGACGCGCAAGTAGCTACCCAGGCCAAATGAATAATGCATGAACCCAACAGTTGCGCACGTATTGATTTGATTATCGCAGTATAAGCCGCAACCCCCTTTTTTTTAAAGTGAAATGTGAGTATTCAACCTGCGGCTCACACTCCGTGAAGCACGGTAACAAAACAACATTCTTGCTCTTGGTGTGTGTGTTTCTATTTCTGTCTGTCCATCTGTCTCTCTTTACCTTTCCGTCTGTCTGTCTGTCTGTCTGTCTGTCTGTCTCTCTCTCTGTCTCTGTCTCTCTCTCTGTCTCTCTCTCTCTGTCTTTCTCTCTCTCTCTCTCTGTCTCTCTCTCTCTGTCTCTCTCTCTCTCTCTCTCTCTCTCTCTCTCTCTCTCTGTCTCTCTCTCTGTCTCTCTGTCTCTGTCTGTCTCTCTCTCTCTCTCTCTCTCTCTCTCTTTCTCTCTCTCTCTCTCTCTCTCTCTCTCTCTCTCTCTCTCTATTTCTCTCTCTCTCTATTTCTCTCTCTCTCTCTCTCTCGCTCTCACTCTCTGTCCTTTTAATTCTCTTGTCTTGCTGCCTCTATCTCTACTTTGTTTCTCTCTCTATACAGCTTCAGGCCTGCATGGACCGTGTCAAGCAGTACTCGTTGACACAGGGCAGCAAGCGGCTCACCAGGGACACATTTCCCGGCCTGATGACCATGAAGGATTATGGTCCCCTGCGCATCGCGTTCATGGGTCGAAGCGGCACGGGGAAGAGCCACACAACCAATAACATACTGCAGCTGTTTGATCAGGACGCTACTGAAGAGGTCAGCTTCTCGTAGAGACTAGCTATTTGTATTTTGCTACTGCTATCACATCCCTTCTGCAACTAGTAACTACAGTTTTGGCGAGTGCCGAAGAACTGGTGATCAGCCTCCTAACGAGGCTGTCTCTATTGTCATATACTGTAGTATATGTTACGGTCTATGCACAGTTGAGTCACTGTGTACACAATGGTATGCTGTGCTTGGTGAAATCCTAGCCTGTTCGTTCTTCGGTACCCCCTCTTTGGTAGCCCCTTCTTCGGTATCCCCTTCTTTGGTACCCCCTTCTTTGGTACCCCATTCTTTGGTACCCCCTTCTTTGGTACCCCCTTCTTTGGTACCCCCTTCTTTGGTACCCCCTTCTTTGGTACCCCCTCTTTGGTACCCCCTTCTTCGGTACCCCCTTCTTCGGTACCCCCTTCTTCGGTACCCCCTTCTTTGGTACCCCCTTCTTTGGTACCCCCTTCTTCGGCATGCAACAGTACTTACTGTACAGAAGTCACTGGGCACAGTCAGCTTATTTTGCCCTGTATTCCATATGAGGAGGCAGTGAAAATACTAGCGGAAACACTTTGAAAATGGTGATTATGGGGAGCCTGATGGTTTTGGAACCGGCCTCTTGTACGGATAGAAGTAACACAACCGTACAATAAAATATGGACCATTCCAGAAAAGCAATGATGACGAGGCATAAACAAGACAGCGCAGCATAAAGGGAATGGGGAGCCTAATCCTACTCTATTTCTCGAGCGTGACCACATTTTTTGTCTCGAAGAAAAAGACAAGAAGTGCTAATAGTATACCATAATCCAAAATCAAAAGTGACGCACACAAAGCGTTCAAAAAACTGACATGTGTGGGGCAGTCATCATACCACCAGTCACAGCAACCGTCCAGGTTATAGTGTATATCGATGGCACTCCGAGTTTCTTGCCTACGCAATCACACCATACTATAATCAGGGCACTCTGTGCTTAACTGTTTTGCCGTAAATATACTACAGAATTTCCTAGATTATAAGTTACACTCGATTATAATGTCAAGCCCACTTTTCAGATTTGACCCATATTGTTTCAATTTATTCACCTGAGCAGGATGTTACACTCAACTGTCAGCCCCAGCCCTTCTTTAACCTTGAATTTGCACATGAAAATGGGCAATTCGTACCCTAAGAAATCGGTTATCCAGAAACACGGAGGAAAACCTCTTCGTCAGATTCTGGACTTGAAGCTTTATGTGTGTGTCTCTGCATTATGCTTTATATTCTGAATGTTGGCCACCCTGTGGTCTGGTCATTTCATGCATGCAGGTGTATTCAGCGGGAGAAGGAGACGCAAGGGTCCGGGACACAGTGTTTACAACTGACTGCGGTGGGAAGATCACTCTACGCAACAGTCGAGGTAGTGGGGAGAGGCCAGGTGGATGCGACTCGGAGGTGCGCGTCTTGGAGGCCATTCTCACTAACAAGCTTCATGCTGGCGACGAGTGCTACAAGGAGAAGATTCGTCACAACGATAACAGTCCCATGCCAGATCAATGCCACGGTGTGATTTGCATCATCCCTGAGAAAGGGTTAGACGAGGACCGGCCGTTCAAGCCCGGGAGTCACACAGAGAAATCATTTTGGAATGGCTTCCAGCCACTTCTCAAGCGACTGGGTATGTACTGTGTAGGAATTGTGAAGAACATATTGAACGGTCACTGATTGAATGATGACTGCACCATAGCTTAGTGGTAGAACATCACTAGCCATAAATGAGTTCCTGGTTCCCATCCTGGTGGCCAAAGCCTATGGGTTCTTCAGACTTTTCCCGGTTGCATCTTTCCCTCAAACCAACGAATGTAGCAGCTGTGTTCTAGTATAGCGCAAACACAATGCTCACTTATAGACGTTGCGTGGAAACAATTCATGGTTCGCGTGAGACACATCCAGATTGAGTTCCCCACATCTATATCGTGTAAGTTGAAAGACATCAACATGATCTGTATGATTACCCGTATGTATAACACTGGTGCTCGTTTTCTTTTCTGCCGTATACACAAAGAAAACGCTAAAACTAGGGAGTTGTTGCCACTGGCAAACGTGCACTTGTATTCCACAGATACCATCCCAATGATGCGGAACTGCATGATCTCTATTCAGAACGTAGGTGGATGGTAGACTCAATGTATGCTTTGGAGCTGCCTCAGAAAACAGTCATATTGGGCAGAGGTCGAATGGGGGGGGGGGGGGGGGGTACCCTCACTTGCCTTGACTCTACTGGTTTGTGATGTGTGACGGTCAGTTGCTGTTTGCTTTTTTGTGATCAAAACCATTTGAGAGTCAAATTTTGCTAGAAATGGTTTAGTATCTGCAATTCTGGAGCAAACGCGATGCAGAGAGATGTTTGCCAGTAAACACACAAACAAACACACACATACACACACATAAACACACACACACACATGCATGCACACACACACACACACACACACACACACACACACACACACACAGTGCATGCACACACACACACACACACACGCACAGATCCAAATGGTCTTTTCCTTGGTGTCATCAATGGCCAGTGGTAAACGATTTTCCAACCTGTTTTCGGCTATACATGTTCTCGACAATTTTGCTTCTCCCTGTTTCCAGATCTTTGTCCGGTCACCTGCGTGACGCACATGCGAGAGATAGTTCCGCCGTATGGCTTGCAGGACGGCTGGGAGAAAGTTGCTCATGCAGCACAGATGGTCGGTTCATCCCAAAACAGCGTGTTCCCCATCGAGAACAAGCAGCCGAAGACAGACAGGGCGACAGTGATAAAGCGCCTTCGCCAGGAGCTTCTCCTTGCACTGTTGGAGGTTATCTATCAGGCTGAGCAGCGGCTGCACCGAATCGAGTTAAGGACCCTGAGGGAGACGGATCGCAGCGCATATGTCAAAACACAATGTGAGTCCTACCTGCCTTCTCATCAGAAGATCTTTTTGCTGCATTATCTTCTAATGGTCTACCTTACTGATAAGTTGTAGCGATTTTGGCGTTGATTTTTTTTCCGAAAGGCTGTGCTCGGCACACTGGAGCTTGCGCTTCCCCCGAAACACTGTGTATGGAGCAGGTAGTAGAGTTTTTCTTACAGGTTTGCAGAGTCGAAGGTTCGATGGACATCTCGTGTGCTCTGGATGGCCGTCTTGAGTCAGTCAAGTGTCAAGTCAAGTGGGTGGAATAGCGCGAGCACCAGTGTGGGAAGCGAACCAGTGTGGGAAGAGAACCAGTGTGGGAAGAGCACCAGTGTGGGAAGCGAACCCGTTCCAACCTACTAGACAAAAAAACACTACAGCAAAGCCTGTCAAGGCGACCACCTGTCCCAGAAGACCACTGCCGCCAGGACCAAGGGATGCTATTTCCAGAGGTCGCTTACACCAGGTTTTACTGCAATTTAATTTTTACTGTTGCACATGAATAATGTGTGTATAGCGATGATTTTATGCCCTAAAGTTACTGTACTCGCATGATTAGTGCCCCCGAGGCACTCTTTTTGCGATGTCCATCACAGATGGGGCAGTATTCAAGAGAGGGCACTATTTTTTCATTGCTGGTACATTTGCATCATCCAGCATAAGATAAAGAAAAACAGAGCCTAAAGTGTACTGTAGACGCTCACTACTCCACAGAAACAGGAAAAAGACCTGCGATTTTGTTCCTGAAAACACCAGTGCAAAGCAATGGCCAAGAAAATTAGGGAAAGAACACCAAACTTGCACATGGGCTTGGTTACAAAACCGGGGGGGGGCACTATTCCAGAGAGGGCTTTATTTTTCACTGGCTCTTGGAGACTAGGGCACTATTCGAGAGAGGGCACTATACAAGAGAGGGCACTATTCAAGAGAGGGCACTAGTCAAGAGAGGGCACTATTCAAGAGAGGGCACTATTCAAGAGAGGGCTTTATTCAAGAGAGGGCACTATTCAAGAGAGGGCTCTATTCAAGAGAGGGCTCTGTTCAAGAGAGGGCTCTATTCAAGAGAGGGCTCTATTAAAGAGAGGGCTCTATTCAAGAGAGGGCTCTATTCAAGAGAGGGCTCTATTCAAGAGAGGGCTCTATTCAAGAGAGGGCTCTATTCAAGAGAGGGCTCTATTCAAGAGAGGGCTCTATTCAAGAGAGGGCTCTATTCAAGAGAGGGCTCTATTCAAGAGAGGGCTCTATTCAAGAGAGGGCACTATTCAAGAGAGGGCTCTATTAAAGAGAGGGCTCTATTAAAGAGAGGGCACTATTCAAGAGAGGGCTCTATTCAAGAGAGGGCACTATTCAAGAGAGGGCACTATTCAAGAGAGGGCACTATTCAAGAGAGGGCACTATTCAAGAGAGGGCTTTATTCAAGAGAGGGCACTATTCAAGAGAGGGCTCTATTCAAGAGAGGGCTCTGTTCAAGAGAGGGCTCTATTCAAGAGAGGGCTCTATTCAAGAGAGGGCTCTATTCAAGAGAGGGCTCTATTCAAGAGAGGGCACTATTCAAGAGAGGGCTCTATTCAAGAGAGGGCTCTATTCAAGAGAGGGCTCCAATCGCGCGAGTACGGCAACAGTTATAGTCAGCTTGGCTTATAACGACACTCGGCGGCGGGGCATCAACAAGGTGTCCTTATTCGCGAAGTGTCCTTATACCCGAAGTCTCATTATATGTATTACAGTGGGATGGGACTTTGCTCTGGGCATGGAAATTCTGTCGTTATTCGCGAATTGTCGTTATATCCGCAGTCGTTATTCGCGAGTTGTCGTTATATCCGTAGTCGTTATTAGCGAATTGTCGTTATATCCGCAGTCGTTATCAGCGAATTGTCGTTATATCCGCAGTCGTTATTCGCGAATTGTCGTTATATCCGCAGTCGTTATTCGCGAATTGTCGTTATATCCGCAGTCGTTATCAGCGAATTGTCGTTATATCCGCAGTCGTTATTAGCAAATTGTCGTTATATCTGCAGTCGTTATTAGCGAACTGTCGTTATATTCGCAGTCGTTATAAGCGAATTGTCGTTATATCCGCAGTCGTTATTAGCGAATTGTCGTTATATCGGCAGTCCTTATTAGCGAATTGTCGTTATATCTGCAGTCGTTATTAGCGAATTGCCGTTATATCCGCAGTCGCTATTAGCGAATTGTCGTTATATCCGCAGTCGTTATTAGCGAATTGTCGTTATATCCGCAGTCGTTTATAGCGAAGTTGACTATGCAACAACTTTGTTGGCCATTGTCTCATGTCCCGTGGTATTTTCTCCTCTGTGTTGGGTGCCTTTGTTCCTTCTACCCTTACTAGCCAAGTACGCCGTGGCCCGGTTCATTCGCAGCACAGCTGAAACGTACGCTTGGCCATCGCATCGTGTGGCGACGATGGAGAATGCGCTCCGTGACCAGTGGTTGGCCCTGGGGCTGGCGCGAGATGAGGACTACTTGACTCCGGAGCACTTCATTCGTATGATGTCGATGGCGGCCGTGTGCCAGAAGGTGTTCAGGTCAAAGCCTCAGCAAAAGCAGATTGCCGCCGAGTTGGACAGCTTCCGACGTTGCTGGAGGGTGTGATGACGGCTAGTTGGCGACGGTGTGCGCGCGGGATTCATTTCACGTCACACCGCGCTGGCATGACACTCATTGCGTGATCCGCTCGCGCCATGCCCACTGCCCGGACCGTAACACGCTAGGATTTAATGCTGATTACGAGTTCATATCTACTACAGTAAGATCGGGCGCCGAAGAACGCAGGGGCTCGAGCGCAGCCTAGGAAAGTTCTTAAATTTTTGATTCTAGCCAGACCGTTCTTATTCACATGCGCGCGCGGCGAGTCGAGTGACGTCATGACGCTTGTCATGTACAGATGTACATGTAGTGCAATGTAGTACTTCTAAACTAGTGGGTGTCGTAAATGGGAATGACTGTACATGTATAGCAGTTACTGTTTACACGTGTACATGACATGTACTCACCTCCAGCTCCCATACATGTACAATGTTCCAAATTTTAAAAGTGTTCTTAAATCTGATAATTCTAGCCTGGACTGTTCTTAAATTTTGCCGGTTTTCCAGCCTGGGTGTTCTTCGGCGAGGTGTTCTTCGGCGCCCGATCTTACTGTAGTACATGTATGCCATCTATGCCATATACGGGCAAGTGTACATGTAGTGTGTGTGCATGGTGCCCGATCCATGTTTTCTGCCTATGCCCCTGTCGCGTCATCTGCAGCCGTAGTCGCTGCGGAGGCATCCATTGTGGCTGACTGGATATTATATGAGTATTTGAGTGCTGTTTGATTGCTCACCATGTCCCAGTTTTTCTTTTGTTTCCCCGGGCCTTTTTTTTGAAGTTCTTTGGAGCAGCTGGCTCAGTTTCTGCTTTTTTGGTTCATTTTGCCCAAAAAAGAGGCCATTTATTTCACTTTATAGTGGAGAAAACCAAAACAGGCGGATGCCTAATAACAATGGACCCACTGTTGAGGGTTCATGTTTCAAATTACGATTGTCGTTGTTTTCTCGATTAAGGGGGGAATGACCCTTCGCGCACGCCATACTGGACCGTACATGTCCGAACGACCACAACTTCTGTTTCCTTCAATATTTCTTGAAGAAATTTTCACCATGTCTTGATGGAATAACATACAACAGATCAATGGCACTCTGAATGAAAATATACAAAAGAAAGTTGGAAGATTTGACAACAAAAGGATAATTATCGCACAACGGACAAAAGCTAAACGGTGCGCAATTTTATCAGAATGTAGTTCATCAGAATCATCTCTTTCAGCCATAGATATTTAGATTACAGGTACACGCAGTGCGTTTGCCTAATATCACACAGTCCTAAACATCAGTGGCAGTGGTACAGCTCTCACATGCTGCACTACCGCACATGCGCAGTTTCCTCATGGATGGAATGGGCAGAATATGCACACAGGATTGAAGAAATCTCCTGCCCATAGGCAAACGCACAAGCTGACATCACACAGATTTCAAAAATGTATACTTTTGCATGTCCATTCTGTACAAGTGAGCCAGGAAACTGCGCGGAGTGTCAACAAACCACTAAAAATGGCGAAAATTCAGGGTATATTTAGGTCTATATTCAGGGTATGTTCAGCACTTTTCATACAGCACCATCACGATGCAGGCAGATAGCTGCACTAAAACTTGCCCGGTCCATAAGTATCTCCTTCCTCTTCAATAGTGGTCTCCTCCCAGCCCTTCTTTCGCCTTCTTCTCTTCTTTCTCTTCTCCTTCTCTTCTGCTGAACCTTTGCGATCGGCTTTGTTGATGCGGGTGAAATCCTCATCTTGGCATGCTTTGTGGGTCAGCACGCCAGGTACACAGTCTGCTTCTAGAAGCACACTCTCCACAGCCAGTGCACCATCATTGAAGTGGGCAACTGCAAGGCTGGCAGCGAACCGGACAACATCAGCGCCACAGAAGCTTTCCTTCTGGCACATACCCCAGATGACGCCGTTGAAGCTTTCATTCGCATTCTGCGTGGCTCCGAGGAGGCATCTCTCGAGAAGCTTACGCTCTGTCAAGCGGAGATACAGTGGCTTGACGACGTCAAACACGGCCTTGGGGAGAATGTGGCGATGGGTGTACTCATCCCGGACTCCAGCCTGCACCAACTGCCACTTGCACCAACTGTCAGGACCGGTCGGGCAAAACTGGTGCTGGGGATTGTCGTCCGACGAACACCGGTGCATAAGGCCACTCCAGATAGCCCGGGCCATGCCTTGGATGTCTTGGCTGTGCTCCCTCACTGCCCATCCATAGTACATCTGGAGAGTGTCAATGGCTTTGTCGGTGAGCCGGCCTTTCCCAGACAACGCCTTGCCGTCTGACAATTTCGGACCCTTCATCGTCTTCTTCAGCTCCCGCAAGCCCGTGCCGATGCGTTTCTGTACATGTCCAATGCACTCCTCCTTTTCAATGGCTACACCATTGTACGGGTCAGCTTCAACGACAGAATTGAATGCCTTGTACGTTGTATACTGGAGACCACGATCAGCAACAGAGCGACTCCATATGATGACAGCTGCCTCGCTCTCCATGGCTGGTGCAGATCGCGCTGTATTCACTCCACAGGTGTGGGTACCTTTCCAGGCAGTGAAATCAGCTGCACTAATTCTTCCGGACTCCTTCCGGTCGTTCCACACGACACATTCCTGGCAGTACTTGCTGCTCACGTGTATGTCCAGTACACGGCCTGTTCTCCACGATATACAGGCAAAGACACCGTAGAGAGACTTATAGCCGCGCCTCATCCAGGTGCCATCGCAAGTTACCGCCACGGTGTCGCAACCATTCAGCACCTTCACCTCGTCAGCAGCATTGACCATGCTCTTATGAGCCACAGTGGCTGCAGCGATCACGAGTGCTTCCTGGTGACGGGTGTAGGCATGTGTGTTCACAGGGCTGGGCATGTCCATGGTTCCGCAGAACTTATTCAGAGCGGCACGTCCCTTGCCAATTCTCCGCATGGCTAACACTGATCGCCGGTTGACGTCAAAGAACCGCTTCTCTTTCAGGCATAGGTTAAATCTCCAACTGTGACTGCATAAGACATTGTCGCACTGCACGTGCACCACCGATGCGAGGCCAACGGCGCAGCAGTCAACAATATTTATTTTTCCAGATTTGCACTCGCTACACACAGTGGCCACGTCCAGAAGCTCCTGAAGACATTTCAGGTACACAATTCTGTTGCTCCGCAAGCAATCCTCTTCTATCTCTTCTCCAGATCCCTCAGACGCCTCAGTATCGTCGTCCTCAGAACTGTCTGGGTTCGAGTTCACATCTGAGCCGTCGCTGCTGTCAAAGCTTTCATCAGCTAAATAGGCCGGCTTCCTGCTCAACTTTCGCGTGGACGCGCTCTTCTCAGTCACTTCAACATCACTGGCGACCTCAGGAACCTCAACGACATCGTCGACTTCAGCAGCAGCTGGCTTTGGACCAAAATATTTCCTTTTCTGTCGTCTAGAACGTCCACTCGAGCTCGTTTTTCGGTTCCCCATTGTTCAAATTTCAAATAATAATTAATTTTGTTCTCAAGGCAGGAAGCTGTTCATGTTCAGCGCTTCTCCTTGTACGCCATAGCATCCGGTAGCAACGATTTCAAGTAAAAAGCAATAGGTGCCATCATTTTTCTTTGTTTCAATAAAATTGATGTCATGAAAAAAAAAAATTCAAGTCAAAAACTCGCTAGTAGTACGCGGTTTCAGTGAAAATCACCGACTGCATGGAGTGCAAAATTGTACAAATTTTCGTTCCGTGCGTACTCATTTTCATTTGAATTGTTGAATTTGAAACGGTCGTAACTTTGGAACCAGTAGTCCGTTTCACCAAAAATTTTGTTTTTTCACCCTATAGGGTCCGCTGGCCTAGTTGGATACCCAAAACAGCCAGAATTGAAACTTCCAATTTTTGAGTATCTGAAGGGTCATTCTTTGGATTTCTTTTCTACATTGCTTTGCTTGCCACCATTGTGTTCTTTCCCATAAAGGCGTTGTAGACGATGTTGTCATTTTACGCCTGCCTGCCGTCTTATGATGACCAGTTGGCTAGGGTTCACCTGCACATGCAAACAGCTTGGAGAAAGTCATCCCTGGGCCCTCAGACTGATAATCATCATCAACCTACGCAACTGTTACCACGGCTGCATCCTTCCCTGGGAAGGTTCCAAACTTCCAAATGCCCATACTACACTCACTGCACTACACTCTTTGTGTGCTCTACACTCTTTCAGTGTCGAAAACACGCAAGTACTTCTACATTATACATCCTCACATTTAGTGTTGTCTCACTGTAAAGACAGTTAGTTGTGTAGGCTAATGCATGCACAAGTAGGACTACAGTGAAAACTGTCTAAGGCGACTGCTCAAGGGACCATCAACATGTGGTCTCTGTAACCAGGCTGACTCACTGCACCAGTCACACTCCATAACAGCTAGAAGTTGCTCCTGACAAGCTTTGTTTCGTTCCATTATGATATTTGACGGACCTACTGAAGATGGCATCAACAGAATGACTGGCAGTCATGTCGCTATGGAAGGAACTGATGATGCTTGGCGTCCCGGAGAATCTAGCGTACACTGTACGTGTACGCACACATACATGTACAGTGAGCAATATTGCTCTTGAAGAGCCGAGCAGCAGATAACAGAAGCTTTTTTTTGCCATAAACATGGTCTAATGCCATCCCTGACTCAAAACGGAAACAATATCGATGCAATCTACAAGTACACCTACATGTTACTATGATGTTGCTATGCAGTTTCTATGGTAACCGAGTGCAATATAAAGACACGGCTTTTCAATACCTTGCAGGCTTCAATCACTTGCGTCCTGATATGATAATATTAAATTAACTTTTTATGACCTAGTATGTGTCCTCTACACCGAACACGGCTGATGTGAGTTTAGGTTGCGCGGAAGAGGTGGGAGCAACGCTGCATCTTTCGGTCATGTGGCTCCAAGACTATCACCATGCCCGCGGCGAGAGCGTTCTCCACAAGCAAATGCAAAGCCCGTGTTCTAGTTACTAGTGCATGGTGCATGTACAACGAATGCTTTTTATCAGTTTCCGATTTCATGTACATGTGGATCTACAATTGTACATTCGCCTGTACCGGTAAGGGTGCTGAGCAGCCATTGTTATGATGAAAGTTGGCCAAGGCGGAAAAGAGTGCGCTTCGTGCAAGACACGAATTCCGGGTAGACAGCACGGTGACTGCACGGCAAGCTCGCGCCCGTAGACTGCATGTCGGTACACTCCACTAGACTAGCAGAATGTGCATGGTATGGTGGGCATTCAGCTTTGTCTCTACTGGAACGGGCGGGTGTGGTGGTAGTCTGCACAGTTGGTGATTTTCGGTAAAGGGCGTCATAGTGCAACCATGCTGCAAGCCGTTCTCAACACGAGTCGGCGCAGGCCCACACCATGCACACGGATACTGGCAGTCATGGTAGATTTTTCATTATACCATACGAGACCAGACGACGTTTGCAGACACCAGCACGAACACTGCACCAGTCACACTCCATAACAGCTGGATGTTGCTCCTGACACGTCTTGTTTCGTCCATTATGATATTTGACGGACCTTATGAAGATGGCATCAACAAAATTACTGCATGGCAGTCATGTCGCTATGGAAGGACCTGATGATGCTTGACGTCGCGGAGAATCTAATGTACATGTACACTGTACGTGTACGCACACATACATGACAATACAATGTACGCCTATGCGACAGTGAGCAATAAATATTGCTCTTGAGGAGCCTATGCCTAGCAGCAAGAGCACATAAAACGGTTTATGTACTCTTGCTAGCAGCAGATAAGAGCAGCATTTTTTTGCCATAAACATAATCAAATGCTATCCCTGACTCAAAACGGAAATAATATC